AGCAGAAATTTACTTACTCATAGTTCTGGGGGCTGGAAGTTCGAGATCAGGGTGCCAGCATGGCTGGGATCTGGTGAGGCTCTGGCTTCAGTTGGCCACCACCTTGCTGTAAGCTCACATGGCCTTTCCTCAGTGTGAGTGTTTGGGGCTGGGGTAGAGGAAGGGGTGAAGGGGGAGAGAGAGAGATCTTCCTCATTTAATAGGGCTACAAATCCTATTGGATTAGGATCTCACCTTTTGATATTTAAACTCAGTTACCTCCTAAAAGTCCTTTCTCCCAATGTAGTTACATTGGGGGTGAAGGCTTCAACATATGAATTTCAGGATGGGGGAGGGGGGGTTTACAATTCAACTCATAGCAAACACATAAATTCAATCTGTAACAGGGTTATTACAGTGTAGGAGAGAGATCATGTTCAAATTCAAATATAGCAAAGACAGCTTGGGGATTTATAGCCAATGAAATAGCAAGGGTAGAGAGATTCTTGCTGAATGCAAGTCAAAGGTAGGGGGTGAAGAACTTGGTCAGCTAGCAAGGCTAAAGGGATTTCTCTACACTGGCTTATTCAGGCCTGGCAAGGACAGGGCAGACATGGAAGATAACTGAAGTTGGTCAAGGATAAAGTTTTGTCAGCACCTTGCAATTTTTGCGTGCATGCCTTAGCTGTTTTTGGTGTTTCTCATGCCAGAGAGCCTCTATTTCCTCCAGAGAATAACCTCTAAGCATGTCTTGGGGCTTTGTGGGCCCAGGAGTCATTTGCCCAGCAATGTGGAGTGTGTGTGCGTGTTGGTGTTAGGAAAGCTCTTTCTCAAACAGCTTTCACCTGGTCTTCCTTATGTTAGAGTCTCTATTTGCACACTTGGTTCCAGAAGTGTCCCTGTACTGTAGTTCTTATGTCTTTTGACATTCAGTGATGTAATTTGGGTTGTTTTTCATCTTTCCTATTCCTGGGGATTCACCTCTCTTGGATTTGCTGTCAGTTGTTTCTCCTCTCAACCATTTGCTTTCCAACTTCCAAAATGTTGTTGTCTCCTCTCTGGTTCTCCCATCCTTGTGGACTGATATCTTTTTAAGGAATTCCTTTACTGTAGGTGAAAGGTTTGAAGAAGAATATTCGATGTGTGCCTTTAAATCTCTTGTCTTAACTGGGAAGTTGCAGCTAATAGTTCTGAGTGAGGAAGCAATTGGAATCATTCAAGAGAATTTGCCATTCTTTCTCCACTTTTGGGGCTTTGCTTGCTCTTATTTCCATCCCCCATACTTAATTATTCCTAAATGATTCTTCATGACTATTCTGTAATTTCCCTTTGAATTTCAAACTATCACAAGACCATTTTCTTGAACTTTACTGGTGGCTTCAAAAAGGGATGTGGGGAAAGAGGTGTGACTACCATCTATTGGGTGTCATTAAAATAGTGATCTCAATTTTATGTCACTTAATCCTTATAGCAATTCTATAAGGTAAGTGATACTATCACATATGGGTAAGGATAAAGATAAAGATCAGAGAGATTAAGTAACTTGCTTAGGAGCTAGTCAGACAGTGGTGGAGCTTAGTTTCAAGTCTAGGTTTTTGTTTTTGTTTTTTTTTAAAAATATAATTTTATTGATTGTAGAGAGGAAGGTAGAGGGAGAAAGAGATAGAAACATCAATGATGAGAGAGCATCTTTGATCAGCTGCCTCCTGCATGCTCCCTGCTCAGGATTGAGCCCACAGCCTGGGCATGTATGTGCCTTGACTAGAAATAGAGCCTTGACCAGCTGGGTCCTAGGTTGACACTCAACCACTGAGCCGCCATTGGCCTGGCTCAAACCGAGGTTTTAAGATCTTTCAACTCTTTTTAGTTTACCATCTCCTTTTCCTCTGCCCAAACTGTGAACAATTTATTCATGCACTCAGTGAATACTGAGTTGCCTGCTATGTGCTGGGCCTTGGGGACATCGAGAGTGTAACGGGACAATCAGTGGGTCCGTGCTGCCTGTCACTACTTGAGCCAATTAAGCAGAGACAGGATTGAATCTTATATGAGCATTTATTCCAGTACTGACGGCAGTATGGGAGAGCAGCAGGTCACCCACAAAAATCTGCTCTGCAGCACCCCAGTAAATCAGCTGCTTATATAGGGTAGGACTGTGGTCGGCAAACTCATTAGTCAGTAGAGTGGCAAACTGCGGCTCAGCTTGCTAGTCTAGTCGCAGTTTGCCAACCACTGAGGTAGGACAAAGACCACTGGGGTAGGGTTGGGGAGGGGGGTAGGGGATGTGGACCATAGGTATGGGGAAGGAGAGGTTACAGGTATGGGGAAGGTGGGGTTATTAGGTATGGGGAAGGAGGAGGCTGGGTGGGACTCCATTGTTTGGGTAACAAGTTTTTTTAATCTCTCCTTGAGAATGGACTGCATTTCAAGGTTGACTCCCAGGTCCCGGGGGCATACAACTCCCAGTCAGGTCAGAATGTCCTTTCTTTAACCAACACAAGACTATCTTGGTTAACAGAGCATGATTATTCCCCATAACCATAGCTAGTCCCCAATGTTCTATTCTTGCCCCTAACTACAGGACTGCCCTGATGGTACACGACTGACATGATCAGATTTACTGTTCAATAGGATTTCTGGTCATCTGTGCAGAGGCAAGAATAGGAGTAGGCAGCTAAGTTTATTATAGAAGTCCTGGTAAAGGGCTGTCTTGGTTTTGACTAGGATGGCAGAGGAGATAAAGAGAAGTGGGTGGATTTAAGATACTTATTGGAGTTAAAGGTGACCGGATTCTGGGGAGGTGGATTTGGAAGGAGCTGGAAGAATTGAGGGTGACTCCAGGTACATGCCCTTGACTGGAATAGAATCTGGCATCTTGAGTCTGCAGGCTGATGCTTTATCCACTGAGCCAAACGAGTTAGGGCTCCAGGGTCTTTTTAAAATTAAATATTTTATACTAGGGTCCCAGTGCACAAATTCATGCACCTTAAAGGAACTGTGGGCCACAAGGCTATGGTGGGCATAGGGTTGGGTCTGGACCCGTCCTCTACACCTCTGTCTGGCTCCTCCTGCTATTACCCCTGGGTCATCTCTCTGCCAACAGCCCTGCTTCTGCTGCTGCTGCTCCCATATGCTGAGGGCACCGGCCCTGCTTGCACCCACTGAAGGCATAGAGCGATTGGGGCCAGTGCCAGTAGCGGGTGCAAGTGGAGGCTGCTGCCCTCATCACCTCTCAGCAGCAGGGGGAGGTAGAGAAGCCCTCAGGGGCAATCAGGGCTGGCAGCTGCTGCTCGCACCCACTCATGGCGCCAAGTTATTGGGACCAGTGCCTGTGAGTGGTCCCAATCACTTGGCGACCAGAGGTGTGAGCAGAGGTGCTGACAGTGGGTGCGAGAGGTGACTGCTGGCCCTAGTCACCCCTCAGGAGCAGGGGGAAGTGGAGAAGCCCTGAGATGTGATTGGGGTTGGCAGTGGGTGCCAGTGGTGGCTCTGGCAATGGCAGCAGGTGCGAGTGCTGGACGAGACCACAGCGCATGGGAGCAAAGAATTTTTAGTAACCACCAGAGGTTCGCCCCATGACAGCAACCGGCACCCCGTCTTGGTCTGGCATTCCCCACTCACCTGCTCCACCATCCTGCTTTGGCCATCACCCATCATGTTCCATGTGCACGTCCTGGTGGTCAGTGCACATCATAGTGACTGGTTGTTTGGTTGTTCCGCCATCTTGTGGTGGCCATCTTGTGACCACATGGGGGTGGCCATCTTGGGTGATGGTGTGATGGTCAATTTGCTTATTACCTCTTTATTATATAGGATATATATATATGTATATATATGTGTACATATGTATATATATACCCGTATACACACACACACACACACATATATATATTTATCTGTCATGGATCTTTTCAGATACTCTCAAAAGACAGAATTATAAATATTAGTTCTGAGAATGCCAAGTTTGAAAGAAGCTTTATAAGAACACTTGAAAAGTTGATTGCAATTCACAATAGGCAAAAACTGGAAACAATCCAAATGTCCATCAACCAGACAGCAGGTAAACAATTGTGGCATAATCCTTCAGTGGGCTCGTCTACACACCAACATGGTTGAATATTAGAAACATTATTTTGAACGAAAGAAGCAAAACACAAAGGAAAATATCCTACCGGTATATGATTTCATTTACTTAAGTTTAAGGAAAGGAAAAAACTAATTTATGATGATAGAAACCAAACCAGTAGATGTGTGTGGGCAATAGGGATTGATCAGAAGGAAGCACGAGGGATATATCGAGTGGGTGTTTGTTAAGTGGATATGTCCATTTGTCAAAACTCACCAACTTTTGTATACTTATGATTCGTACATTTTACTGTATATAAGTTCTACCTCAGTAAAAAAAAACAAGAAACCAACAGAAACAGTGTGCTGAGTGGTTTGCGAAGATGTGTATAGGGGACATTTGGGTGAGGCATCTCTGTAGTGTCAGATTGTCAGGGAAAGTTTCCAGAGAACGTCATCTCTCACATCTCTCAAATTTATCCTTTCAAGTCTAAACCAACTTATTGTTCTTCTCTTAGCTGACTCTGCACAGTAACATTCGTTCCCTAGGATGACTTTAATTTTTTGTGCAATCAGAATTCTTTAGGTTGTGAAAGGGAGTGCTTTTATAAATCACACTGGGACAATAGGTAAAACCTGAGGCCGCTGTTCTCTCTGTGTGTATTGGACAAAGTGGAGTACTCCACTGCAGTACTCTTCCGAAGGGAGGAGGTAGCAAAGCAGGTGGTACCTGAGGGTAGAGCAGTCTCTGCTTGGTCCTTATCTAAATAAAAATGGATGGGGGGTGGAGGGGAAGCAGTGTGCAGCAAGGTGGGAGGGGCCATGGATTACTTGTGGGAGGGATAGACATGCGTCTCTATGAATTGTAGTTTCCATGTTAATTTTAAAAAAAGATATGGTGTTTGTTTTTTATTTTCAGAGTTATTCATGTTGCTTTATTTGTTCCTCTGAAACAGGACACAGTGGATAGCTAGCTCCCTTCAGAAATGGAGGATGGAAAGCCCGTTTGGGCGCCACACCCTACAGATGGGTTTCAGATGGGCAACATCGTGGATATTGGCCCTGACAGCTTAACCATTGAACCTTTGAACCAAAAAGGCAAGGTGAGTTTCTCAGAAAGATTTCAAAATTTTGTTTCTTTTTATCTAAGTGTCTCCCTTATCAATGAGGTAGATATTCCTAGCACAGTGTAATAGGGGAAATCAGTTTTCTGGTAAGTGAATCTTAGTTTTCTGGTGAGTTATGTGATTAAATTGGAAGTACATACCCTAGGGGAAAATTGGTGCCTTAAAGTAAAATCAGACAGAAATTCAGTGAGCCTTTCATTATCATTTAAAAAAAAATTATTTTATTGATTTTGTACAGAGAAGAAGGGAGAGAGATAGAGAGTTAGAAACATCGATGAGAGAGAGTCATCAATCAGCTGCCTCTTGCACACCCCCTACTGGGGATATGCCCGCAACCAAGGTACATGCCCTTGACCGGAATCGAACCCGGGACCCTTCAGTCCCCAAGCTGACGCTCTATCCATTGAGCCAAACCGGTCTCGGCTCATTATCATTTTTTAAAGTGGAAAAAAGCATGATAAAATATAACATTCTTCTTTATACATATTACTAATATTATTATATATGTGATATAAATAATATGTTACAAAGCAAAAATATGAAAAGTGACTGGCATTATATTATCAAATTTTGCTTATTTACCTCCTAGACAATTCTTTTAGACTTTTTTATTAGATTTATTAACATGGGATTCAATCATTAGAGTAAATGTATTTCTAATAAGTAAATATATTTAAATCTGAAACATACTAGTCTATTGCTGTTTTTGCTCTAATGATATTTTTTTTAAAACAGGAAAGCATACTTTAATTTTGTAAACATGATATCTGTTTCCTTTTATGCTTTGACACAGACCAGACAGTATTACAAAACGGGAGTTGAGGAAAAGGTGACTTGGGTCCCTTTCAGTATGTCAGGTCTCTCTTTGTGGGATCTTCACAGTTTCCAGTTTAATTTAATATTCCTGTTAAAGGTCTTCTGACTGAATTTTGTTGATGCCATTTCTGTTTACTTTTGCTCCTCGAGTGTTCATGAATAATTTATATTCTGCTGATACTTGGTTAACTAATGCCATATGACTGCCTGCCTTCTGGGAACCTTAGGAAAACAAGGTGGATCCCTCATGAGTCTTTTCACAGAGAAAACTATTCTGTTACTGTAAACAACCTGGAACCTAAATGCATAATATATAATGTGGCGCGTTAGAGGTGGCCAGTTAAAGATACCCTCAGGGAAACAAAGACAGAGTGTGCCTAAGTTTTCTCTCGTATTAACAAGCACTTATTTGTACTTACAATGCCTTGCATCTTTAAGAAAATGAGTCAAAACAATAAACTCAATTTATTTTTTATTTAAACCTGGAGGGGAGGAAAAACTTTCCTCCCTTAATTTGGGACTAAGAATTAAACCTATGTAAGACAGATTTACAGTAGAAAAACATGCAATTTTTTATTAAATTTTCACATGCACAGGGAGCCTTCCCAAGAAGAACTGAAGAAGTGCCCAGAGTGGAAAGCTTTTATCCCTTTTAGACAAAGAAACCATTTGTGAAACTGTGATAAGACAAAGGGGTTTGGATTAGGGGCAGTAAATTGAGGTTGGGGCAGTCAAGTGCTTAGGAAGGTAAGGATTACTATGACAAGGTTTGTTTGTATAAATGTCTGTTGGCCTCTGATCCCTCCTTCTGGTGTAGGGAGGGCAACTTTCACATGGGATTTTTATGTCCTGCTTTCAGGAATAAAAAGGAGCGTCAGAGTGCCCATTTTGCACATGTTATTTCTCAAGTGCCTTCAACTCAAAATAATTAATATGCTACAGTAGCATATTTTGGGGTGACAGAAATTTAGTGAGCCTTTCATTGTCCTTCAAAGATTTTTTTCATTTCTGTTTAACATATTTATAAGGACAATAAACCAGAAGGCCAGGATGGAATGAAAAGTACACATGCTAGTTACATATATTCTGTTATTTAGGTATATTCTGTTATATCCATAGGTGACAACAGTTTAGTTCAAGCATAGAAGAAATTTGATTTATGGTATCTGTGCCTTTTCACATTTTAAATATTTTACGTGCTTTCAACTATGCCTTATGAGTATTAATCAGGTACACACATTGAACCAATAAAAACACTTAAAATGTAAATTGTAAGTCATGAAAACTGTGGATCTGATAATTCTATAAACTAAAGTTGAAGCTTCTTTTCACAAGCACTTTTTGAGGTATAACAAATTCTCAATAATTGCTTTTAATCTTAATTTCCCCATACTTCCTTATTGGTGTCTTAATAAATTATAAAGTATAATCATAATCATGTGGTGAAAAGAGCCTCAAGAGAAGCAGTCTTTTGCCTAGGTAATTCATAGTGTGGAGATCATCCACTTTTATTTATTTTTATTTTTTTAAATTAAATTAAATTAAAATTTTTTATTAAATTATTATCTGTGTACATATTTTAACATTGCCCCCCCTCCTATACATACCCTCTCTCCCCAGAGTTTTGTGTCCATTGGTTGTACTTATATGCATGTATATAAGTCCTTCGGTTGATCTCTTATCTCCCCAAGATCTCCCTACCCTCCCTGCTGTAATTTGACAGTCTGCTTGTTGCTTTATTGTCTCTATATCTATCTGTTGGTTCATCAGTTTATAATGTTCTTTATTATCCATAAATGAGTGAGGTCATGTGGTATTTCTCTTTCATTGACTGGCTTATTTCACTCAGCATGATGTTCTCCAATTCTATCCAGGTTGCTGCAAATGATGAGAATTCCTTCTTTTTTATGGCAGCATAGTATTTCATTAGATGTACCATAGTTTTTTGATCCAATCATCTGCTGACAGGCACCTAGGCTGTTTCCAGATTCTACCTAGCTATTGTAGATTGTGCTGCTATGAACATAGGGGTGCATATATCCTTTCTGATTGGTGTTTCTAGTTTCTTGGGATATATTCCTAGTAGTGGGATTACTGGGTCAAATGGGAGTTCCATTTTCAGGTTTTTTTTAAAATATATTTTATTGATTTTTCACAGAGAGGAAGAGAGAGGGATAGAGAGTTAGAAACATCGATGAGATAGAATCATCGATCAGCTGCCTCTTGCACACTCCCCACTGGGAATGTGCCCGCAACCAAGCTACATGTTCTTGGCCGGAATCGAACCTGGGACCTTTCAGTCTGCAGGCCAACGCTCTATCCATTGAGTCAAACTGGTTTGGGCTGTTCACAGTCCTCCTTTTGCCTGGAATGCCACTCTCCATAGCCCTTTGCTTAGCAAATATTTATTTCCAAGACTCTGATTGAGGTCACCTCCTTTATGATAAAAGTTCTCCCAGATACCAGATGCCTCTACTCTTCTCCTCCACGCACTAGAATTTACTGTTGATTACTCTTTCCTGGTGCCATGGTATACATTTTTAGCCTCCTGTGATACTTTATTGGAGATATTTGTTCACCTTTATTTCCCCCTCCCTGCTAGAGTGTAATCTTCTCAAGTGCAGGGACCAATTTATTCGTTTTGTCATTGGAGCTGATGCAGTCTGATGTGCAGTAGATGTTTATTGCTGGTGATCATTGTGTGCTTTGTTACATGATCTTCTCTAGGTAGGAGAACAAGCCTTCTTCCTGGGAGAGAAAACAATTGCCTTATACAAATTTCTCTTTCTCATTGAGACCATGGTAAAGGGGAGAAGATAGGCGGGGTGGCTGGTGATCATCTGGAGGGTGAAGGAGAGCTATCTTTTAGGATGCATTACTAGCCTTTCAACCCTGGCTTAACCTCCCCATGTAGGATAGGAGCACATAGGACTATGACATTAGCAGTTTACTTTAGAATGCTTATTTCTGTAGAATCATTATTATAATGTTTAGACTGTTTTATATTACCACTAGTATACTTAATGCACACGATGGATTAGGTTCAATATTGTGATCTGTCCTCTAAACCTTTCCACATTTATAACACTAAGAACATGTGACTGGATTCTAAATTATTAACTTTCAGAATATATAGGGCATAATAGTTTTCTAATTTGGGTCTGACTAAATTGAGCTACTACCAGCAGCCTGGATTTACTTTGTAAACTATAGCAATAGCCATATCTTATAGTGTGTGTGTGTGTGTGTGTGTGTGTGTGTGTGTGTGTATACACATATATTTATATGTATGTAAACCTACAAATATTTTAAAATAATTGAACAATTTTTTCCTTAGAGTTTTATTTGATATCGATGGAAACTTTAACCACAAAAGTAATTGTAATTGAGTAATTGTAATTGCTTGAGAAGTATAAAATTATAGATTACTGTTAGAATGACATGGTTAAAATAATTCTCTTTAGATGTAATTCGAGATTTTTTTTTCTCTTACAAGATACTATCTTAATTCTAGAATTTCTACCATAATATTTAAGTGACATAATAGATATATGCTACTCATGCATACCTATTATTTTATGGACCAAATAGTTCTGGATACTCTTTATATTTGTAGCACATTTCTATATAAGAATTTATGTGTAATATGTTTTATTCAAACAATAGCATTAATTAAATAATAGTGTGCTCTGTTGGTATATCTGATAGATTAGATAATACTTTTTCCTTTCTAAAAATAAAATTGCTATAGTGTATACAAACATTAAAATTTTTATTTAAAAAGTTGCTAGTAGCATGCCCATATAAATTTAATATTAAGATACTTCATGTTTTGCCTTGGTCTGTATATTAGAGCATAGGCTTTCTAATTGATTTCCATTATTGATTTTATGGTCTTAGTAATGGTCTAAATTATAATAGGTAAAGTTTTTTAGTGAAGTTATTATTCTGTTTTTGGGTTAGTGACTTGTAAAATAGTAGGGTCTTGTGTTATATTTTAATGAAGAGCATATTATTACCATTATTACACTGTATGCAACCAATTAAGCTTCTTTATTTTTCTTACTGCTTATAAACCTATAATGAACTATTGTTTTGTTTGTTAGACATTTTTGGCTCTCATAAACCAAGTGTTCCCTGCAGAAGAGGACAGTAAAAAAGATGTGGAAGATAACTGTAAGTATCAAGTTAAAAACAGTTCACATCCCAGAAAAGAAAATTGTTCCTCCAAAAAAATAAATTAGTATTCATATTACGAGGTACACGATACTGGTTCAGAAGAAATGTAGCCCTTTGACACGAAGATTTGTGTGAATGGAGGAGCTCAAAGGCCCTAAATTTATTATTTGTCTTACATTTGCACTTTGGTGAAAGTTTCTTGAATGTCTTTCTAGTGTTGTCTCAGTTGTGTAAATGTAGGGAATAGTGATATGTAATTTACCTTGAAATCTTTTCTGAAAATTATTTTGAACCTCTTCTAGAATCAGATGATATTTATAGTAGTATATGTTCAATAATTTGGAGGTTGAATCAAGAGGATCTATTTAATGTAATTGTTTGAAGGAAACCAACTTTTAAAAAAATATTGTATAGTAAGTACTAATTGAAAAATTAATTCCAGAACATTACATTAAAATGAAACATTATTTTGACATAACTATCTTAGTGTGTTTGGTGGAAAAAACCTTTATTTAGTGAACAAGCCATGTTAATTCTTGCGTTTTCAAGATAAAGTAGTAACCATATTTCATTTTGTATTTGGCAATATTTAAGAGTCATATCCAGTTGCCATGGATTTAATCATATCTGACATTAAAAACTCTCCATTTAAAAAGTAAAGATGAGCCCTAACCAGTTTGGCTCAGTGGATGGAGCGTCGGCCTGTGGACTGAACGGTCCCGGGTTTGATTGCAGTCAGGGGCATGTACCTTGGTTGCAGGCAGATTCCCGGTAGGGGATGTGCAGGAGGCAGCTGATCAGTGTTTCTCTCTCATCGATGTTTCTGGCTCTCTCTCACTCTCCCTTCCTCTCTGTAAAAAATCAATAAATATATAAAAAAAAATTAAGATGAGAGAAAGGAATCTATTTTGTTCTCGTTGAGTTTCTTGTGAGTTCACTTTTGAGGGAGCCTGGAAGATCCGCATATGTGAATGGGCATTGTGGAGTAGAGTCATGGTAGAGCCTGAGTTCAGATTCCAACTCCCTATGTAGTAGGAAGCTTTCTGCCTATGGGCAACACATCTCTCCTCTTTCAGCTTCCTATCTGTAAAATGGAAGTCATTATGTGTATGTTACATGTCTGGGGGATGTTATATTTAAAGTTGTTGGCATATTTCTTAAACTCTGGTAGCTGTTATTATTAGATGTAAGAGATTGAGAAAAAAAAATGTGCTATGCATAAATGTTCGTTGGCTAACCTCTTTACCTTCTTTTATCCAGCCCTTCCCATCCTTTGCCCTCTGGCCTCTGTTAGTCTGTTCCCTGTATCCATGCCTCTGGTTTTATTTTGTTCATTAGATTCCACATATTAGTGAGACCATGTAGCATTTGTCTTTCTCTGAATGACTTATTTTGCTTAGCATAATCTCCAGGTTCACTCATGCTGTCACAATAGGTAAGAATTATTTCTTTTCTATAGCCATGTAGTATTCCATTGGGTAAATGTACCACAGCTTTTTTATTCACTCATCTACTGATGGGCACTTGGGCTGTTTCCAGATCTTAGCTATTATAAAAAACGCTGCTATGAACTTAGGGGTACATATATTCTTCCTGATTAGTGTTTTGGGATTCTTAGAATTATTCCCAGAAGTAGGATCACTGGGTCCATATCTTTTCTTAATTCAAAAGAAAGCTGCCATTAAAGCTGTTAGGAGGCTCCACCTACTTCTTACTCTGTCTTATTCTGCCATAAGTGGCATTAGAAAAGTGAGCCATGTGTTTTGGCAAGTGAATTGTCTGTACTGTATGAGTATAGAAGCATGGACAGTCTGAGATAGGTATAGTAAGAAGCTCTTATTTGACTGAATTGATTAGGTGTTGAGTTGTATGATAGGCATAATTCACTGTAGGCATAAATACAACTTCAATGAGGAACAAGCAAAGAAGCAAGTGAATTAGACAGAGTCCTGCTCTCAAAAGATCTGGTTTAGTAGCCAAAACCAGATATACAACATTTCAATTGCATTACTGGCAGTCTGTGGTCAACACCATAAAGAAAGTACAAAGAGCAAGTAATTCTAGTGATGGTGCTGATGAGAATGGGGAAATACCATTTGTGAGACAATCTTTGCATTGACCTTAATGAATAGGTAGATTTTTGACACCTGAGATGTAGAGGTGGAGTTCAATGCATGAATGATATTTGGGTTTAATAAATAGTTTAGTCTGTCTGTAAGTTAGACCATATTAAAGCAAGTTGTGGAAAATTATATGAAAAGGTTAACTGAATAGGTAGCTTTAACATGGGCCCTGAATACCAGTCTTGAATATGGACTTCGGTAGATGATGAAGACCCACTGATACTTTTTCTGATGAAGAGAAATATTTAACTAATTAGGGTACCAGGTTAGTTAATGTGCCAAGCAGTCTGGAGTAAGGAGGAGAGAGGCTGAGGCAGTAGACAGTTAAGTGGGTGCTATGATTACAAAAGAGGTAATGTGACCTAAACTGGAACTAGGGCAGTGGAAATGGAAAGAAAGAGGAGACATATCTGAGATTTAGATTATACTAATTTTAAGTGCCTACCATGGGTCTGGTAATGTGCTACCTACACACTTTATTGCATGGTATAAAGAATTGGAAACTGGTTTGGAGCAAGAAGGGAGAAAAAAAAAAGATTCTAAGTATTGACTAAGGTTTGTAGTCAGGTGGTGCTAATTATAGAAACCAAATGGTTGGGAAGAAGAGTGGCTTTGTCTACTCTAGCATGTGGTGGAAATGTAGAAGTGGAGCTCGGAGGATTGGAGGGGTTGGGTGAGTAGATTAGGCTGGGAGAACAGAATATGTCCGTCTGTGCATGTGAGTGTGTATGTGTACATATTTATGTATATTCTGACATATCAGTAGAACAAACATCAGAAAAACAAGCTTTCTACCCTGATTCTGCTATTAACTAGCTGCATATCCTGGGTTTTAGACATATACATATTTTCAATCTGTGGTTGGGAATTCAAGTATGCAGAGAGCTGATGTAAGTTATATCTGGATTTTCAATTGCAAGAGTAGTTGGCACTCCTAATCCCAAGTTGTTCAGTGATCAAATATATAATTTCTTTGGGACTCTCTTCATCTTACCACTTGTGAGGCATTGGCTGAATGATCTAATGGTCCCTCCCCCTTCTAAAATTTTATCTTTTGTGTTTTTCTGTAAAATCCTCAGTGTCAGATTAAATTAGTGTCATTGCCTTGTTGTGTCACAAGTGTATTAATATCAGTCAGTGCTATCTAAAGTCTTATCTTCTTCCCACTTGAATTGGGCACCAGTTTTTAACCAGCCTTCACTAATGTGTACTCACCTGGTACTCACTAGATACACTCAGCTAGTTGGAAACTTATTGTTTATAAATATAATTGTAACACATGTGTAAACTGGGTATGGTTTATTGATTTATTGATTTTTAGAGAGAGGATGGGGAGAGAGAGATATAAACATCTAAGTGAGAGATAAACGTCGATTGGTTGCCTTCCATATGTGCCTCTGCTGGGGATCAATCCCAAAACCAATATGGGGACGATGCTGCAACTCCCTGAGCTATCGATACATTGGCCAGGGCTAAACTGGATATATTTTAAATTTTCCTGTTGGGTTTACATATACCAGGAATTAAATCTAACAGGTGAATTTTAGCTTGGAACAAAGTAATTTAGATTAAGATAGTGTTGTTTTACTTTATTTTTTTCTTCCAATATCTAATGATATAACCATTTTATGTCTCAGGTTCACTAATGTATTTAAATGAAGCGACACTTCTCCATAATATCAAAGTTCGATACAGTAAAGACAGAATTTATGTAAGTATTTTACCTATTCTTAAGGTTTTGTTGGATAATTATGTTACATCATAGGATGTAAAGCTTGAAATTTTCTAATAGGAAATCGTATTTGATCTGAGCCTGTTGAATAGAATGAGTTCCATGAGGATAAGGATTGTTTTCTAATTTACTGCTATAACTCCAGGGCTTACAACATGAATGGTACAGAGTAAGCATGTGGTAGATATTTGTGGAATAAAATAATGAATTCAGAGCATCATCTAGTATCTTTTAGATTTAAAAATGTTTAATTTTTAAAAAACACTAATTATTTGGGGTTTTGATTTCTTATTTTATAGATCTGTTTAAAATTTAAAAAAAAATATATTTTAATGATTTTTTTACAGAGAGGAGAGTGAGAGGGATAGAGAGTTAGAAACATTGATGAGAGAAACATTGATTAGTTGCCTCCTGCACATTCCCTTCTGGGCTTGTGCCTACAACCAAGGTACATGCCCTTGACTGGAATCAAACCTGGGACTCTTCAGTCCACAGGCCGACGGTTTATCCACTGAGCTAAACCGGTTAGGGCCTGTTTAAAAATTTTAAAAGTATTTTTATTTCAGAGGGGGGGGGGGAGGGGGAGAGAGAGAGGAAAAGAGAGAGAGAGAGAGAGAGAGAGAGAGAGAGAGAGAGAGAGAGAGAGAGAGAGAGAGAGAGAGAGAAACATCAATGATGAGAGAATCATTGATCGGCTGCCTCCTGCACGCTCCACACTGGGGATCTAGTCTGCAACCCAGCCCTGACTGGGAATTGAACTGCTACCTCCTGGTTCATAGGTTGACACTCAACCATTGAGCCACACTGGTCAGACTAAATTTGTTTAATTAGTTCACTTTTCACATTGTTCTGCAAAGAATTTACAGCATCCTATAAAAAATGTATATTGAAATGAAAAGCTTGGATGACAAAAAATGTAATTTACACTTAAGGCAGTATCTGAGGAAATAATCAAGAACACTGAATGCTGCCCACACAGCCTAAATAGTTGTAGTATACCATTAAATCCTAATTAGATACCTACCTTAAAAATCTAGAATATTAATAAACAAAAGAGAATGCTTTTAATGTGAAGTGATTTGCACCAAATTATTCAGATTGATAGTGAACTAATATGTTTTAATTATAATTACTCATTGTGCACATTAAAGGTTTTATTCTAATATGACCTGGTTGTGGATTCCTTTGTTGGCTGGGGATAAATTACCCACTGTAGTTCTCCTGTTATAAAGATGGGACTCTTCATTATTTTTGAACGAAGAACACACATGGCTTCTTTGACTCCTCCTAGATCAAATGACAGTCTTAATCTTTTATAACACTATCAATTTGCCTAATTGTACTTACTTAATTCTGACTAAATTACCTTTAGTCTTTGCCATCTGTCCAAGTAGTGACAGCTGGGAAATAGAAATAATCTAGTCTTTCCCAAAGGAGTTTACTTGCGATCTTTCAGTTCTACATAGCACAGTTTTAAGCCTTCACTCTCCTTTATTTATTTATTTTTTTCAAATAAAGGGTATACTTAGATTAATATATGGCTATATTTCTTGAGTAGAAATATATTTAGAAGCAAAAGTCACTCAATCAGCAGACTGCTATTGAGCACCCGATGTGTGCTAAATGCTGCTTTAAATAGCAAAATTAATACAAACTTTTAAAATTTGTTTGTTAAAACAGTTTAACAAAAGTTAACCGAATATAACCAAGAAACATCATTTTTCACATAGAATTGACCACTTTTTTTTAAACTTATATTATTTGGTGGTGGTGGACCCATCTTACATATTTAAGCAAATTTTGATTAATGTCTCTTAAAGTTAGGAAACTTTTTTATAGCTTTACAGAATCATCATACTTATTAAAAATTGAGATATTTTGTTTTTATTTGGGATGTTTGTACTATAGCTTAATACCCATAGGATTCTGATTGGTCTTTTAATGCTTCCTGTGTTGCAGTGATACTATATATGACTATTAATAACTAAAGGTTTACATGCAACATTAATTGTATTTAAAAAATTAGTTGTCGTTTTTACACATTGAGTTTAGTTGGCTTACAAATTTTTGCTGGGTTGTATGGTTGATAAAAAATTGTCTGTTTGTAAAATTTAAGTTTTTATTTCTCATGTATAATGTTTATATCCCTCTGGAGAATTTTAGGTTTATTCCTAGCTTTTTGACCCTCTGTTCATAAAATATGTATGCAGGTGGGCAGATGACTTCTGTTAGGTAGTGGCTTTTGGCTTCATCAGCTCCTGTTTAGAGAAACAGTATTTCCAAAGTTAACCAAAGCCAAGAGTGGTAATTTTTCCTAGCCAATTATGCATTTTAGTTATAAAGCCATTAAAAATTAGCAACATATAAATATACTTATTATTACTCTAATATAAATAAGAGAAAGAAGTGGTTTGGAATAAGAGCTTAAATGTGATATTTTTATATTTCTCATCATCCAGAAGTATCTATTCTTTATTAGACTTGAGTTATAACAATAGCTAACTCACTTTAACATTTGCATTGGTTACTAAAATCTCTGTTATTTTCCTTTTGTCTTTCATAGAAATATAATTATCTGGAATTTATTTTTTATCCCACTCCAGGGAACATTTTTGGGAACACTCACTGAATTTGAGATTAGTAGTCTGAGAGTTCAGGGTTTCCGTATCATTTCCCTTCCACAACTAGAAGTCAAAAAGAGAAAAATACGGTCCTGCCTGTCCTAGTTTGACCAGTAAACCACAACTAATTGCTAAACCACAACTCTCTTTCTGCCTGCAGGGAATTTTATAAATCCTATTGGTGCATTTTTTTTTTGGCCTTTTAAAGCCACAGTTACGCTCCAAATTCAAAAATAGGCTTAAGTTGTTCATTAAACATTTAGCCTGGCAATATTTTAGGTAATGGTTAGCATATGTTGTTTTGCAAAATCTGGGACCAAGTGATCACCACAGAGCTAAATCAATTCTTGTCATTCAGTGATGGGAATAGGCCTAGAGGATCCTATGAGCTGTATTAAAATTTTCAGTAATTGGGTGAATAAAATACAGTCTATGTGAGGAATATTAATGAACAAAACTCAGGCTGTAGGAATCGAACTGGGAGAGTAGATTTCTTAAGAAGAGTTAACAGAAGAAGGCTGAGCTGGAGGCTTAGAGACTCAAGCTCTCTGTCTGTGATGACTTGGTAATGATACCATCAACCTGGAGAGCACGTGGGAGGAGAATGTATGCTTTGAGGCAAAACAAAGTCAAGAGAAATAATCTTGATTTTGGATGTGCTGAGTTTGAGATGAGTATGAGATGAGAAGAAACATTTACTACTGTTGAGCATTCGAGAAATGTAGGTCCTGTAGAGATCAGGGAATATGTAGGGGTAGAAATGCACATTTGGGAGTATAGCAAATTGAGGGTATTTTCTCCCCTATGAGCTTTGTTTAATTTTAAATGAAAATAGTAATTGGAAAATTTTGTATTTATGCTTTTCCTATTTAGACATATGTCGCCAACATTCTGATTGCAGTGAATCCCTACTTTGACATACCTAAAATATATTCTTCAGAAACAATAAAGTCTTATCAAGGAAAATCTCTTGGGACAATGCCACCTCATGTCTTTGCAATTGGTAAGTAATTTCAGTGCATCTTAGTTTTTATTTTTTCTTACATTGTATGAATGTACACAGTTTTTTAATGGATTAACAGAAGATATCATGAATTGAATATGTATTTCGGAGAGCCTGTATGCATTTTGAATATAGCCCCATTGTTAGGAGCACACATTTTACACAGGGTGGGGAAGAATACTTTATAACCAAACCATGGGGCAGTGGTATATCATTATCTTTGTTAAGGGCCTGTGTCCTCTTAAGTGTGTCCAGCCTTTAAAAGTAGGACACAATAAAAGCTGACCTCATGGTTCTTTGTGGCTCCTCAACACTTCAGTTTCAGTTTAGAAGTGTCCTCCTTTACAGCTTGGAGGCATAGGCCTCCTGCTCTTCCCCAGAACATCACTTGTGAGCATGTTGCTTGGGCTGGACCTGAGCTGTAAGCAGATGTCTGCCAGGCCCCACTTTACATCAGGGCTTTATAAAGTTGAAAGGACTAAAACTGGTGTATGCTTCCTATCTCTGGGGAATCGGTGTGGAAAGACACAGTGTCTGTCTTTGCCTTTCTCAGGCATTTTCTCATCATTTTCTCATAAAGCACTCCAGTTCTAAGGAACAGAGAGAGGGAATTTTTTGACCCATAGTTGGTAGCTGCAAGTACAGAGATGTTAGCTAACCCTTTGGATCCAAACATAACGAGCAGTTACTTAACTGATGATATATTTTGGTTCTGATTCTCAGTGCAGCTGTTTCTCTTTGGGCTTGCACTTCATGCCTGTGTTTTGGCATCACTTGGCCTCATGAACTTCCAGATTTGGCTGACTCGTGTGCTGTGTATAATTAGGAGACTGAATATGTCAGCCAAGTCCGGTGCAATGGCAGATTGACTTTTGATTCTAAGATGCTTTAAGGGGCATCGTTATGCTTTCTGTCAGCTACCAAAAATGGTGCAAAATCTTTAGAACCTCAATGTGAGCAAGTTCCTCGCTGGAGAGAAGTTACATGTTTAAAATGTATTGTAAATAACCTGGCTTTTATTTGTATTTGTTTACTGCTAAAGAATATTTATAATGATTCCACCAAAGTGGGTGGAACAGATTGCTGAAAAATTGGTCAAAAGGATGGGTATACTCTTGCATGTAGTTTGCATTTGGTCCTTAGAGTAAAAGTCACTAGTAAAAACCTGCTTCATTGGTAAGGATAGCAATATTTTAATTTGAGACCACTTTAACAAAATTAAATCATGCTCAATTTATATATGTCTATTCTTACATTTTGAGACACTTTATAGCATAAATAGTTGGAGTATAATGAAGATAGCTAAAAATTAACTAACACACACAATTGCAAATGTGAACAAATTAAAGCAGTTAATTCTGTCTGTTTTTGAAATGCTGATAAATTCTACAGGATGTTTAAATTGAGTAATAATATACAGAAAAAACACAGATTTATTTTGCAATTACGTATTTTTTCCTTCAGAAGAATTTTTGGTTGCCAAATTTTTCTCCAGATCTCGTAATTGATAGCTCATTAACATCTTATTTTTCTTTGAGGACTTCATTAGTTATTTATAGTGAGAATTTTTAATCTCTGCAGATCTTTTCTGATACTGGGAAGAACTGAGCTACAGATCATAATATGGAGACATTCTAGTACAAACATAAGAGTTGTTTATTTGGCTTTCACATTATTTAGCTGTCAGGATCATAAGCTGCCAGACCATTTAAAGTAAATACTTTAGAGATGTTTTGAATACTTCTGAATGCTTTTAAAAAATATGTTTTTATTGATTTCAGAAAGGAAGAAAGAGGGAGAGAGAGAAACTTCAATGATGAGAGAGAATCATTGATTGGCTACCTTCTCCATGCACCCCACTAGGATTGAGCCCACAACCCGGGCATGTGCCCTTGATCAGAATCGAACCTGGGATCTTTTAATTCACAGGCTGACACTCTATCTACTGAGCAAACCAGCTGGGGCTGAATGCTTTATTTAATTATAAGCACACATTTATAATTTCTTTAGGAGCAATTTCTCTTGGATAGTAAATGAATTTTCTGTCATTCAATAAGTCTGAATTTGATGCATTGTTTATCATTATGTGCTATTTTGACTCCAGCTGATAAGGCTTTTCGCGACATGAAGGTGCTTAAGATGAGTCAGTCTATCATTGTATCTGGAGAATCTGGAGCTGGCAAAACGGAAAATACAAAATTTGTTCTAAGGTGAGAAATATTGAGCTAACGTAGAATAAGATTTTAACAGGTAGGTTTCTTTTATTGTGATAAAAATGTATAGCCAAATTTGCCATCTCAACCATTTCTAAGTATACAGTTCAATAATATTCAATATATTCACAACGTTTTTCAGACACTTTCCAGAACTTTTTATTTTGCAACACTGAAACTCTGTATCCATTACACAATTCCCCATTTTCCTCTAGCCCAGCCCTTGGCAACCATCCTTATATTTTCTGCTTCTGTAATTTTGACTACTCTAGATACCTCTCATATAAATAAATCATACTGTTTGTCTTTCTGTGACTGGCTTTTTCCACTTAATGTAATGTCCTCAAGGTTCATTTATGTTGTAACATATGTCAGAATTTCCTTCCTTAGGAAGGCTGAATAATATTCCATTGTATGTATATTTTACATTTTGTTTACCCAGTCATTTATCAGTGCACTTGATTGCTTCCATCTCTTGGCTACTGTGAATAGTGGTGCGATGAATATATTATGAATGAAGAGATACAAGTATCTCTTTGAGATTGATTTGAACAGGTTGAATTTGAATTTCTGTGCATGTTTTATGTCAGTTTAAAATGGTGGGCTGTATCCCTTTTATTATAATTTATAATTATTATGTTTTTAATTTTATTGAGGTGACATTAGTCAAATGAACATATAGGTTACATGTGTAGAGTATTTATTTACAAAATCTGTATTTAGAACCATGTGCCCACCACTCAAAGTCAAATCTTCTCCTGTCACCTCATTTTAGGACCCATTCCTTCCCTCACCCCTTCCCTCTGGCAACCACCACACTACTGTTTGTGTTCATAAGTTTCAGTTTTATATTCCACATATGAATTAAATCATATAGTTCTTAGCTTTTTCTGTTTGACTTATTGCACTTTGCATAATGTTCTCAAGGTCTATCCATGTTGTTGTAAATGACGCTATTTCAAGCAGACACCTTATGTGGAAGCTAAGCTCTGTAGATCGAAAGTTATTTCTGACGTTATTCTTTTGAGGAAACTGGAGAAGACCAGTGCTGGTTAGGCAAAGGGAAATCTACAAATATTCCTTCAAAACCCAATCTTTACACTTTGTTCTCAATATTCCCCTGCAATTAGTGTAGTTGAAACCCTTTTTTTTTTTTTTACATTAACTTATGATGACTGGCATTATTTCTGCTTCTCCACAACCTTCCTTTCAGTGTGTTCCCTGTGCTGCCATAAAATTAAACTCTACATTTTGTTTAAAATAATAGCATTTTAAATACGGAAGGAACAGTAGTACTCATTTTGGTTTAATTCTTTCAAGTTACATACTCAGGGATGTTAGGTCTAGTGTTAAAGCTACTGCTAGGTCCAAGGAATGCATTCTAAATTCTCACCAGGGTTGTTCTCATATATTATAGTTCTTAGTTGATTGCTGCATGGTAGATCCATTTTCAAATTTTGCTATATTTTAATGCAAATGTATATGCTATTTAGAGTTCCTTATATGAAACCAATTTGAGTTTGTTATTGCCTGTTAGGCACATGCAATTCTTGTTAAATGAATGCTTTCTAATACTCTTGGGATTCTAAGTGGTTCAGTTTCTTTTTCTCTTGTATGTATAGTCATATAGTAAGTCTGTGGTTAATATACACCTTTGAAAATGAACAAGTAAGAAACTGTAAAATTATGGTGTGAACTTATAAGTCAGAGGTTACTCTGTTTTGAAATGTGCCAGGCAAGTAGTTGTTCCGTCATGTTTTATCTTGCACTGTAACAACATGAAGAGTGGTAATTTCCTAGTGGTTCGGTGGCAGATTACTGTATTTTATCTAGCCAGAGAGATTGAATTAATAGGTTTTTACTAAAGACTTTGTAAACAAATGCAGAAATGAATATTCCTGTGTGAAACATATGGCATATTTAAAACCAAATGGTTAAAATCAGAATATTCCCCAAGACAGTTTTTAAAAAATAATGCTGATTTAGATATTAAAGGCAATCCAGATAGGTTTAAATGCTTAAAGAGCTATAACAGAATAATTGCATTTAAACATAAATTTTTTATTTTAGATAACCAGTTACAATGAAGATCCAGGTTTAAATTTTACATGTATTAAACAATATTACAATTGTAATGTTAAAATTATAATTTATTGTCATCTAAATTTTTATGTTGTATTTTAAACAGATATCTGACTGAATCCTATGGAACAGGTCAAGATATTGATGATCGAATTGTCGAAGGTATTTGTTAATTTTAAAAATTATTATTTTATGTTGTTAGATATGTATGCGAGAATCCTCTCTTAAGTGGTCTGGCATGTTCTCCCAGAGACCCAAGGTTCTCCCTTCAACAAATCTTTGCTCAGATACCATGTTCTCATTTACTTCATCTCTGTTGTCACTCCTTCCCCTCCACCAATGTAAATGCTAAGATGGCGGGAGTGTTTATATATTCCAAACTTCTGGTGTAGTGCCTGATACATAGCATATCAATGATCCATAAATAGCAGTGGATGAATGAAAGAAATACAGGAAACATCTTGTGGGTGAATGGAAGAAATACAGGAAGCTCTGGAGCCTCCTGTTTTTTACTTTGTTTTTGTTTTGTTTTTGTAAAATAGGAGAGAGCAAGAAGGTTATTTGGAATTGAGGTGCTTTTGGGGAAGATCATTTTAACAGAAGAGTACAATTAGAAGGCAAGGCTCTGTAAATTGGTTCACATTTCTTGATCTAAGTTTTTTTTACGTACAATTCTCACTGTGGTATTGTGACACAAGTATGAGGATCTCATAAGTAATGCTATATTCACTGTAAGGTACCTACTATTTTAGTGAGGGAATTACCCTTTAAAATTAAATAAATAAATAAAAAACAAGTAATGGGTTAATTCAATAAACTACTAATTAGTATTCTGATTTGCTTACTTGAGGTGCACACTTGCTTGAGAATTGAACACAAGGCTGGTTTCATCCACGATGTATTGTACAACATGTAGTGCTCTAGAGTTGAGAAAAGTTGGGAAGTATTATTCCAAATATTTCTACAGTCCTTTATGAGAGGATAGCGCATGTTAACTGGCAGGACACAGAAATCTTTTGGTGCCATTTTAATTGACATTTGGAATGAGTGTATCATTAACAGCATTAATACAATTTTCTGATGGAGAGGCCCTTATCCTACTTTTGGATATTTTATTACTATATTAAATCTTTCAGTAAAAACTGGTGGTTGAGTCTGAAAAGGAGTTGGGGAGACCTATAATTAAGTCCCTTTTTTGTCAGTAGCCAGTCATCTGGCCTTCCACAAGTCAGTTGACCATGTTGGGCATTCATTTTTTGCCCACCTGAAAGGTGAGGTATATGTGATAACATTGCTTTTAGTTTTACATGCTTGCTTGCTTATTTTTCTAAGTGAAAAAATTGGGGACTGATCTTTAAAAGGGTTTTTAGAGACTAGTTAAGCTTTTTTAACTAGTGTATATAATAAGAGAAATGGACTTTAAAAATTTCATTAAAAATTCTCTATCGATAGACATTGTGAAGCACTTTATGAGGTGGTGGAGGGAGAATATGTGACTAAAATTGACACTAGTCTGGTATGTTCACAGTTGACACTCTTGTGAGTACAAGAATAGGCTCTGGTAGCCTTATAGATGTGATATGTCTATAAAATAAAAACAAATTTTACAGTTATTTATTGAGATTTACAAACTATTGTTCTGAGAACCTTGTGTAGGTAATTCTATAAAGTAGTTCATTAGTTTTGTTGGATGTGCATGTAAAAATGTTAAATCTGGAGGTTTTATTAATATACTAGAGGCCTGCTGCACTTAAATTTGTGCAAGAGTAGGCCTTCCTTCCACCAGCTGCCGGCACTGGCTTCCTTCTAGCACCTGGGACCCAGGTTGCTTCCTTCCTCTGGCCACCAGTAGGCACTCGGGATCTGGGCTGATTTCCTTCCAGCCTCAGCTTTGTCAGGAAGGACGTCCGGAATGACGCCCAGAAGACACCCAGTCTAATTAGCATATTACCCTTTTATTATTATAGATAAAATATTTTAGACAAGTAAGTCAACTAATAATTTGTTGCCTGTATTTTGTCACAAAAGGTTTGTTACTTTTGATATTATTATCACTACTCTAGTAGGACTGATGTACTTATGAAAATCTTAACATTTGTAGGGAATAATTGAAAAACTTGAATTATAAATTTTATTATATTTAGTGACTTTTAAAAAATTCAGTCTTTCTCATAACACATTTATTTTTAAATATATTTTGACTAATTTTCGCATCTCTTACACATTAATAAGGCCTGAGTAGAGAATAGTCAGTAATATTTGTAGGAATTGGCATTACATGTTAATTTTAATGTAATATTCTTGAGAACATTTTTAGCTATATTTTGTAAATTTCCTTTTTGCTGTTTTTTGATGGAATATTTTCATTTCTACTTTAATAGCTAACCCACTCTTGGAAGCCTTTGGAAATGCAAAGACTGTTCGCAACAATAATAGCAGTCGATTTGGAAAATTTGTAGAAATACATTTCAATGAAAAGGTGAGAGTGAGTTTGGGGATGATATGTTTGGGGGTTGTTTTTGAAAAAATACAAGGGTCTTAATAGAATTGGTACTGTACTTGAACTTGTGGTAAATTTGTTTAAGTGTCTATTACCGTACTTTAAATAGATGGGATAATATATATGTTCACACTATGACCTCTATAAACACCTGAAGCTTACATTTAGTTACCTTGTTTTACCCCTTTTTTGATAAACATTACCACCTTTTTGATAGATATTTATTAGGAAAGATAAATACTTTAACATTTATTGGTTATACTTGACATGCAAAAAATGTGTCTTCTTTCTGTTTTGTTTTTTAGAGTTCAGTTGTTGGGGGATTTGTTTCCCATTATCTTCTAGAGAAATCTAGGATCTGTGTTCAAGGCAAAGAGGAGAGGAATTACCATATCTTTTATAGGTTGTGTGCTGGTGCTTCTGAAGATATTAGGGAAAAACTTCATTTGAGCTCCCCAGATAATTTTCGGGTAAGTTGGATGAAAAAATTTCATTCAAGACTTGCAAATTGAATTGTCTTTGACTGTAAAACTTATTTTAGTGGACTTTGATAGTTTTGAGTAACTTCCATTAAATTTTGATAGCTTTATGTAACATGACATAATTTCTGTACTAAGTAGATTTCTATTAGACTTACCGTTGCCTTTATAATCTAACACCTTATGAGGAATTATATAATGGAGAGGTAAAAGGGTAGTTGTTAATAACCATATCAATGTAAGCTGAATAAGAAATTTGTACTAGTTCTGTAATGTTAGCTTTAAAGTTACCTTTGACTTTTTGTAAAAAAAAAAAATAATAATTGACCACTGAATTAATATTAATAAAGGACTCATGATTATTTTCCTTAATTCAGTTAAACAACAAATATTTTTGCTTGCCCAGTGGGTGCCAGACATTGTGCCAAGGTTATAAAGATAAATGAAACAGTTTCTGCTTCTGAGCAACCTAGGGTCTGGACACACACATACACACACACACACACACACACACACACACACACTGACTGATGTATTTGAAATGATAAATAGATATGCATAGGATGCTGGGGTTTTAGGAAAAGCTTACTGGAACGAATGAATCCTGCAGGATTTGCAAGGATTGACTACAGAAGGAAAGATGCAAAGGTTATTGCTGATAAATGCAAAAAGATGAACCAAGAAAAGCAGGAAATGGTAAGGCAGGAAATGGTAGGAGGTGATGCTTGAGAGTTTGAACTTCTGTAGTTAATAAGGAGCTATTTAAGGGCTTTAAGTAGAAAATTGGATGTCAGATTTATACTTTCTACTGGCTTTAATATGGAGTTGGCTTTTAGGGAATAGAGGATGAGATGGATTAAAATAACAGCCAAGGAAGGATAAATTGTTTGGGAATCTGTGGCTACTGGTTGAAGTAAGAATTACTTGGTGTCTGAATTTGTTTTATGGAGGGCAGGGTTACAGAGTAGTGGACATACAAAATATTATGAGGTAATATTGATAGGACTTGGAGGCTGATTATGGTAGGAAGAAGAAAGAGTCTGATTAGGAACATTAAGAAATTTGATTAAGAAAACTGAGTGGATATAAATACCTTAATAAGGTCGATGAAAGATTTAGCATATAGGATGAGTTCAATTTGGAATCTATAGATCATCTGAGCAGTGATGTTCAGAAGATCAGTGTCAGTGCTGGGGTGACAGGTTTGGGAGATGGAACTCTGGTGGAAGTTAGAACCATGACAGTGAATAGATGAGATTGTCCAGAGTGATTGGATAATGTAGAAAAGCAGAGGACGAGCAGATAAAGAGTTGCCCAAGAAAGGAAGCTCAAGTAGAGTTGTGAGGGAAGTACAGGGAAAATTGTGAGTGCCAGGAATCGCAAGACAATTGAGTTTCAGGAAGTGGTGACTAGGAATGGCTAGCATAATTTATAAATTTTCAGCTAGAAAATAGTGTCGCTATATCTGCAGAGTATCATGCTAAGTGAAATAAGTCAGAAAAATATACAGATCACATGATCTCACTCATATGTGGGACTAAGTAACAGAATAAACTGATCCAGAGACATGGAACAGAGTGCAAAATCTCAGAGGAAAGATGGGGGAGGGTGGGTGGATGGATGTAACCAATCAAAGACCTTTATGCATATATGCATAACCCATGGACATAGACAATAGGGTGGTGAAGGTCTGGGGCGGGGGAGAGAGGCAGAGGTGGGCTGGAGAGGGTCAAAGGGGGACATATGTAATACTTTCAACAATAAAGAATTCTTTAAGAAAAACAACAATAAGAAAATAGTGTCCTTGTGAGGGAGATATGGGAGTCTTGGGAAGGGGGTTAGAAATGTAATGTGTATAAAATTTTCCAGGTAATTTTGATAGTCCTCTTAGGACAGGAATCTTCCATTTGAAAATCATGCCAAATATATATATCAGTGTATGTGTGTGTGCATGTGTATTTATCATAGCTTCTCTTTATTTAATTAGTGTCTTTTAATGTGTACTTGGAAAATTTAAAACTTAATTGTTTCCAAATGCTTTATAACTACATCTATTTGTATGCCTTTAAAATGTTCAGCCTTCTCTAGAACTCACCAAATTAATTGGAATTTGCAATTAGTTGACCACATTATCTTCATGAAAGTAGAAGAGGCATTTCTATACAATGACTTATAGAGAAGGAATATAAATTACTGTGAATCATATGAAATGTAAAAATCATGAAGTGTCTCTGTCCTCAATGAGTTAACGATAAAGTAATGTGACTGCTCTTGTCTTACTCTAGCAGTTCTGCTTGGAGGCTGTGAGCACACATAGTTTTTGCATGTCCTAGAACGTACTGATTTTCCTGGCACAATGGCAGGCATCCTAAGAGGGCAGCTACTGAAGTTCTTTATCAGGTCAGAGAGCTTCCTGCCTCTGTAGTGTGACCTGGAAGGCATGATTTCCTCTTTCACCAGCGAGTCCTTTGGTGTTGGGAGACTAGAGGAACAGCATTGCCTTTCCCCCAAATACATCTGCAAAGATCCTTAAGCACATATAAAGCTTTGATTGAATGCAGGTGGATTGCAAGAATAGTTACAACTTTCTATTTACAGAAAACTTGGAAGACACAAGTATATTTCCTAGTTTGTAATATTAAGTTCATCTGTCCAATAGCCAAGTAATTGATAAAAACATTTCTTGCTACCAAAGAAAACATTTGTTTGGGCTGTATGTTTAAGCTACTGTTATCTTACTAAATATTCCCCCTCCTTTCTCTTTTATTTTCTCCTCAAAGTTTCTAAAGTAGAAAACAAACTTATTAACAACATTTTCCGTTTTTTTTTTTTACCAGTTTTAGTATTTCATTATAATGGAGGGGGAAAGATAGATGGATGCACTGATCACCTAAAATATTAATTTATTTAAAAATATACTATAATATCCCCCCTTGGTATCTATATAATGTGGTATTTTAAATCTTGGAATACATGCCAATGGAATCACAGTGACCTAATTTAAGAGGCGTTGAGCTGTTTTTTTTTTTTTTTTTTTTTTAAATTTGTCATTTTGCTCCAAAATGTGCACTTCCTTCCTGCCCCTACCTCCACTCCCTTAAAGGTGGGTAATAGATTCTCTTTGAGACCAATGTAATATTATTTTCTTCCAACTATTACCCTTGTTTTATGTTTTAAAAGCACATAGCCTTTAAAAGGTTTCTGGGCAACAAAGAAAATCCTTGAGATAAAAGCTGAAACTGTTATTTGAATATGAAGGTTATTATAGCAAGTAGTATAATTTATGTGTAGTCAGTGTTAACTGTTGGTAAATGTGAAAGGCACGTTTTAAAGAACTAGTTCTAAAAATAAAAAATTAAGAAATTCCAAGATAATATTTGTTAATTATTTACCTGAAATATTTAACCACACTGTGTGGGTCTTAAATTGTTTGAGACTCTTTTACACATTTAGTAAGAAGGTGATTTTCATTATTATCTGTAGTAGGTATGAAGATTTGACACTGTGAATATTTTAAATTGCTGCCCTTTAAATATAGAAAAGCTTTATGGTATTGATTTTCGTGTTAATCGTAAAATGTAATGTACTGTGAGGAATTGGGATTTTCAATATCCCTGGTTTGATTAGTAGGAGTAAAATGCTTTTATAGAAGTACTGATTTTCCGTGAGAGGTTAGGTTTAGAGATTCTTTATGGTTACCGCTACTTGATAAGTTGTGTTGTCTCCTGAACTATTTTCCTGAGGATCATACTTGTTAATTATATTTTATATTTCTTTGTTATAGTATTTAAACCGAGGCTGCACTAGATACTTTGCTAACAAGGAAACTGACAAGCAAATTTTGCAGAACAGAAAAAGTCCTGAGGTATAGTACACTTTAAAAAAAAATTAAAATCTTTAATACCCCCCAAATTGTGCTAAAATATGTATTTTTTAAATTGTGCAAAATATGTATTTTGGAGCCCACATAAGATTTCTTTTAGGCTTGTACTTTTGAAAAGTAAATACTCATCCAAGCCTCTCTAGAGGGTATGTAGTACTTGATCCTATGCCGGTATCTGCAGAGCTTCAGGTTCTGGCTCCTGCACTGCTCTCCTCTTGTTCTGTTTTTGCAGCAAGACGATGTTGAATTGCCTAAGAATTATCCTTTGTTAATATTTTTGAAACTTGCTCTCATATTACCCACTTGAGATTAAGTATAAAATATATCTTTTATAATTGCCTACTTCAAGGCAGAAATAAGCTTTGTGGTAGACATTATTGTGAATTAGTGCTTATATATTATTGTATTTCTCTTTAAAACATTATTGTTTATAGAGATATATAATTTCTGTAATATGTTATAAAAATTTTTGTATATAGGCTTTAATTATTACATTTCTAAAAGTAAGTATTTATAATTATACCATTAAGTATTATTTAAAGAACATTAAATCCTTAATCTAAAAATTTATTATAACACTTATACATTTTAATATGTATGTATGTAATAAGTGGTATTAATCTGTATCTACTCAATGAGTTTAAATTGTAAAATACAAAGTCAGGATTAATTGTAAGGACTAGTCATATTGTCTTTATTAACTTTATTGAGATATTTATATTGAGCACTTAATTGAACATGGTTTTTATTGTACTCAGTTTTTAATGCTTCTGCATTTGAGAGTCAGATGCTTTTGACACCTTTCAAAATGAGTGAGATGAATTATGTCTTTATTATATTCATGGAAAAGAACAGAAAGCAATGAAAATTCTCAGTATTTTGAATTCTAAGCAATTAATTTTTAAGTTGACATTTTAGCTATCATTTTAGACCCAGATGTCTGAACGACGTATATAAATTTTAGTTTGTTACATCCATGGTTGGAACTTTAAGAAGTAACATTAATGTTTATTATGATACTAGAGACCCGGTGCATGAAATTCGTGCATGGGGGGTGTGTCCCTCAGCCTGGCCTGCACCCTCTCCAATCTGATAAACCAGCAGTCAGACATCCCTCTCGCAGTTTGGGACCGCTGGCTCCTAACTGCTTACCTGCCTGATAGCCCTTAACCACTCTGCCTGTTTGCCTGATTGCCCCTAACTGCCCTCCCCTGCCGACATGGGCACCCCTAACTGCCCTCCCCTGCTGGCCTGGGAACCCTAACTGCTCTCCCCTGCTGGCCTGGATGCCCCTAACTGCTCTCCCCTGCCAGCCTAATCCTCCTAACTGCTCTCCCCTGATGGCCTGATTGCCCCTAACCGCCTCTTCCTCGGCCCCGCCATCTTGGCTTTGTCCAGAAGGACGTTTGGCATGTTGTCCGGAAGATATCTGGTCTAATTAGCATATTACCCTTTTATTAGTATAGATCCTACTTTATCATGATAATCTATGTGTTAATAAGGCATCATAAAAATATAGAAATTATATTCTTTTTACTAAGATAATGGAGACATTTCCTTTAGCATGGAGTAATCTGAGTAGAGAGGAAAGAAAATTGGATTTTACTCTTTAAAGAGTAACATGGTACTCTCCTATGAAGAAAATGTACTCTTTCTGATTCTAATGTCAGCAAACTTTGTTAGGAATCGTATTTATATTATTGTTTATAGAGATATGTAATTGAACAATGAATTAATATGTTTAAATTACTTTTTATGTCTTCTTTATCAGGAGGATGAGGTGATCATTTTGACTAATTAGAATACTTTGCCTAGTTCCATTTGAGTGTCTTTAAGCTGTGTGCAATTTTTAGGTGAATGCAGTATTTTTAGTCTTTCATAATTGCATCGTATTCATTAACATTTGATTAAGAACAGTTCTTAAATGATGTAACCATTCAATTGCAAGACTAAAAATTCTGCGTGATCTATGTTTTCTGTTAACTTTGGCTGCCTGCGATGGTTTCCTTTACTGCTTTTAAAAATAAAATAAAATTTTTTTATCTAGACATTTTCCAGAAATTTTACACAAACATAATTAAGCATTTTAAAGAATTTTGTGGAAGGCAATCAACTTTAGCTGAGAAGCGGTGGGCAACCGGAGGAGAAGAAACATGTCCCAGAGGCATCTTTAATGGCCAATTAATTCTCATGCTGTTACCTAATGTTTAATTTCACTTATTGATTCTCAAGTTCTGGAAAATTTCTAGTCCAACCTTTCTATGCCCAGTAACTTTTGTTTTTCTCCTTTTAGTTTTTGCAGGCCTGATTTTTCCTTCCTTTTCCTGAGTTGGTTATAAGTTCTAACAAATGAATGTTTTACATGCATGTTTGTTTGTTTTGAGGAGAGAAAGAAAATTTTCTCTTCATTTTTTTTCTAAAATGTTTTCAGTCATTGCATAAGTTCTTAGAGTAAGCATAATGCTTACTAATACATTTTATCTCATTTATATTTATACAGAAAGGTTTAAAAAGCCATTCTCAGGCCATGAAAACTTATTAGCCTGCCCGCTATTTACTACTGTTGAATATTAGTACAGTTGATGGCAGTTAACCTAAAGGGGTATAATGCTAAGTGACAGATTAAAACTTTTTTTTTTTTTTTTTTTTTTTACAATTTTTTTGCCTTTGTTCATTTTGACCTATGGTTCATGTTGATTCATTTCAACCACTAATCTTCCATTCTTTTTTACTAAATTTCTATTTTTATCTAATACCCTAGCATTATATGCTTTAGAGTTATATGGTAATTAAATTGGAAAACAATCTGTTTTTTAATATTTTTAAATTGATTTTAGAGAGGAAAGGAGAGGAAGAGAGAGAGAGAGCAACATCAATGATGAGAGATAATCATTGATTGGCTGCCTCCTGCATGCCCTTGACTGGAATAGAACCTTGGACCTTTCAGTCCACAGGGAGACGCTCTGCCCACTGAGCTAAACCAGCTAGGGTTCTTATTCCATTTTTGACTGAAATATTTATTCAAATGCAGTTGAAAGAATTATACAGAGAGATTCTGTGTACACTTTGTGTAGCCATTCAGTTTTTGAATGTTAGAATATTGAAGTTTTTCTGTCAGCACATTTTATTTTTGCATGTTATATAGTGCAGTAGATTTTGTGTAATGTTTTTTTTAGTATGCTTAAATAATGTAGAATGCAACTAATTGATGTCGTCTTATTTTATAGTATCTTAAAGCAGGTTCCTTGAAGGATCCTTTGTTAGATGACCATGGAGATTTCAATAGAATGTGCACAGCCATGAAAAAGATTGGTTTGGATGATGAAGAAAAGCTTGATTTGTTCCGGGTAGTAGCTGGTGTCCTTCACCTTGGAAATATTGATTTTGAGGAAGCTGGAAGCACTTCAGGTATCTTTGTGGGTTTTTTTGTTTCCTTTTTTTTTTTTTTTTTTTTTTAAATAAAACTAGAGGTTCTGTCATTTCTCTGTAAGATGTAAATTGAACCCATGTGCAGGTTTGTTAATACCCTGAAATTTCTAGAATTTGCTGTTGATTGGTGAGTCATACAAATGAAGGATGCTGCATCGACTGTCACTATTAGTTCTGATGAGGAATACACTCACTTTATGAAGGACAAGTAACTGCCAGGGTCATATTTAATAACATTTTTCAGCTGATAATATACTTTCCCAATAAATGAACAGAATAATTCTCTACCATCTGTTAAGGTATTTTGACATTTTTTTAGGCTCATTGATTTAAATTTGGCTCAGTTAATTAGGGCAATTTAATACATAAAAGCCCATATATTTTATTACTAAGAAATTAAAATAGGTTGAACTTTGTGCATATTGAAAAGAGCATTTAAGTGCATGCATGATAGTAACTTTTCAAGTCTCTTGATATATAGCCTTAAGAATTCTTATACACTCTTAAATTTGTTCTGTGAGTACAGGGGTTGGGAAACTATGGCCCATGGCTGAACCTGACCAGCTGCTTGTTTTAGTACAATAAATGCAGTGTTGTTAGAACACGGCCACACCCATTTCACTTACGCCTTGTGCGTCCCTCTTTTGTGCTGCAGTGGCAGAGTAGTTGTGATAGAGACTGCTGGCAGCAAAGCCTAAAATCTGACATTAGCAAAAAAGGCAGGTAATGCCTCCATAAACACATTATTTAAAAATCTTACACTGAGTTAAAAATATTGAAAGCACCATTCCATAAAGGAGTCAATACCTGGGGCTTTGGTGTCAGATCCCAGAAACTCTCTGAGCCTTGTTTTTTTCATTTGTAAAATAATGAAATAATTCATGAGAAGTGCTCTTAAAATGTAATATCTAGCAATAGTATGTATATAGGGAAGGGGCATAAAGGTGAGGAAAAAGGGACATTTAAAAATGTGCCTTCTGTGTGCAAGACTCTATACAGACAGTGTTTCATCATAAACGTCATAATCATACCCTAAACTTGATAAAGATAATGGGGGACATTATCGCCATTTTACACATGCACAACCTGTGTAAAATGGTTGTTAATGAAATTGTTGATATGAGAGCCAAGTGCTACCCATGTTGAAATAACTCAGTTAATTTTCCCTCTTTGCCCCTAGTCACTGACCTTCCCAAACGTGATGATCTGTGAATGAGCAGATTCAAATAGACACAGCCTTAATGACATACAGATTTAATGTCCTGTGATGCTGGGAAGTCCGTAGCATCAGATGTAGCATAGTGTTTAATGGCATGTGCTCCTGAAGCAGACGGTTCACCCTGTGTTAACTACCCGTGTGACCTTGGGCCAGGAACTTCTCCATGTCTCAGTTCTTTACCTGTCTCAGTTCTTTACCTGTGTACTGGACAACAGCAGTCCCCACCTCATGTTAAAGAGAGGAATAAGTGAGTTAAATATTTGTAAAATGATGTGACTACTTCTCTCTGACATATAATAATCACACTATAAGTATTTTTAATGAATAAGGAAAATAAAAATACAGATTACTTCCAGTTTAAAATGAGAAGAAGTACGCAAAACCAGGTATGTTGTTAGTGTGAATTAAATTTTTATTAGTTTTTTTGAGGGATTTTTAACATTTATTTTGAAAATGTAATTAACGTTAAAACACATTTCATATCCTCTGTGTCATTGTTATACCAAGGGAGCATGTGGGAGCACTAAGTAACACAAAAACAATTTAGAATATTAGGTACACTTTGGAATTGTTTTAGGGGTCCTGAGGTAGAAGATGCAAATGTATGCAGAGAATCATAAATGGGGCATGATCTACAATAGTTAGTTGAATAGCACTTAAACGGTCAAAAGGCACATAACACATATTTACATTATCTTTTGTTTTTCTTTTCAATTTTTTTTTCAGTTGAAAGGAAAATGAGCAGAAAGCTGAGAAGATTGGAATGAGGCAATAAATTAATACAAATAATAAAAGGGTTTATTTTTATTTTAATAGCTAAGATTTGAGTATGTTACTCTTCATCCTTCCTATGACTTTTCCTATAGACTTAAATGGTTTCTGTCTAATTAAAATTGATTTTTCTCCCACTAAATAGCTCAATTTTGGCATTTTCACAACCTGAGAAAGCTGTGAATATTTTTGCAATTATTTTATTAGAAAAAAATATTCTCCAGGAGATTTTTAGAAGACACTGTTAGTGAAAAGCTTTTTCATGATGGAAATGCAAAAACAAACAAACAAACAAAAAAACCTATTTGAACTTTCTGTGCTTTTTAAATTCCACATAGCAAAATTATATGTTATTATAATATTTTTTTTAAATGTTCAAAGAAGTTCGTCTTGGGAAGGGGAATAACATGAAAACCTACATTATTTTACAGTATTTTACCTTCTTAAAACTTTAAAAATAAATATTTTGTTACATTAGCTTTACACAATTCCTGGAAATATGTAAGAATCTTTGCAAAATAGTAAAAGAGAACTTTTTAAGGAAGTTAATGAATTATTGATGAATTATTAACTTTTTTCAGTTACATAGTTTTAGATAATGCATATGTGTGTAGAAACTAAAAATGAGCAGTAAGGTTATTTTAATAGAGTTAGAGGTTTAATACATTTAAGTATTCTCTCCCTTCTTTTTTAAATAGCTTTATTGAAATATAATTCATACCATACAATTTACCCATGCAAAGTGTACAATTCAATGGTTTTTACTATACTCGGTGTTGTGCATCTATAACCCCAATCAGTCTTAGAGCATTGCAAGCACAAAAAAGAAATTCCATACCCTTTAGCAGTACCTCCCCACCACATTCCCTCACAAACCCCTCAGCCTTAAGCAACCATTATTCTAACTTCTGGCTCTTTCAATTTGTCTGTTACCACATTTCATATTTATTGAATCATCATATTTACTGTGGTCTTTTGTAACTTTATTTTTGTGTCTATATTTCTTTTTACCGCTGAGTAATATTCCATTATATGGATATGCCAAGTTTTGTTTACCCATTCATCATTTGATGAACATTTGGGTTGTTTCCAACTTTGGCTATTATGAATAATGCTGCTATAAATATTCGTGTTCAAATTTTTGCATGGACGTGTTTTTATTTCTCTTGGGTATATGCTGAGGCTGGAATTGTTGAGTCCTAGGGTAACTCTATGATTAACTTTTTGAGGAACTGTCAGACTGTTTTTCAAAATAGTTACCAGTTTACACTCTCATCAGTAGTGTATGGAAGGTTCCTGTTTCTTCACATCCTTACTAACACTGTCTTTGTTTGTCAGAGTGTAGCCTTCATAGTGAGTGTGAAGTATTTACCTCATTGTGGATTTTGTTTGCATTTTCCTGATGGCTCAAGATGTTGAACAACTTTCATGTCTTTATTGGCCATTTTTATACCTTTTTTTTAAAAAAATGTCAATTCATATATTTTGTCCATTTATTGGGTTGTCTTTAAAAATATATATATATTTTATTGATTTTTTACAGAGAGGAAGGGAGAAGGAAAGAGAGAGGGATAGAGAGATAGAAACAAGAGAAACAGCTATCAGCTGCCTCCTGCACACTCCCTACTGGGGATGTGCCCACAACCAAGGTACATGCCCTTGACTGGAATCGAACCTGGGATCCCTCAGTCCGCGGGCCAACACTCTATCCACTGAGCCAAACCGGTTAGGGCTGGGTTGTTCTTTTATTATCAAGTTGTACCTGTTTTAGTGAATATATCCTAGATATAAATTTCTTACCAGATACATAATTTGCAAATGTTTTCTCTCATTCTGTGGGTTAGCTTTTCAATTCTTGGATACTGTTTTTTTAAATACAAACATTATTTTTTAGATGATATTCAGTTTATTTTTTTTCTTTTGTTGCTTGTGCTTTTGTTGTCTTATCTGAAACACCATTACCTACTGCAGTGTCATGAAGATTTTTATTGTGTATTCTCCTAAGATCTTAATAGTTTTAGGTTATATTTTGGTCTTTGACTCATTTTGAGTTATTATTGTGTATGGTGTGAAGTAGGTGTCCATCTTTATTCTTTTTTATATGAATATCCAGTTTTTCTAGGGCCATTTGTTGAAAAACTATTATTTCCCCAATGAATTGTCTTGACCACTTCTACTCATATAAGATCTCATGGTCTGTTGTTCCTGAGTCCTGTCTATTTAATAGTTTACTAACATGTTACGATAAAATTCTCATCATGATTCTCATATTCATTTTCAAATAAGTCTTGAAATAAAAAATTTAGAAACGTAATAAACTTTAAAAATTGGTAAAATATTTGTTAATAAATATTAATAATAAAGATAATAGTTAACCTTTATATAGTGATTTCTGTGTACTAGGCACTATTCTAACTCCATATGCAATTTTACTATTAATCTTTTTATAGAAAACTTTATTAGGTAAGTACAGTTATCCTTATATATGGATGAGGAAACTGAGCACAGAGAATAAGAAACTTGTTTAGGGTCACACAGCTGAAAAGTTTTAGGGCCATATCAACCCAGAGTCTACAGCACCATAGTTTACTCTCTTCCTATGTAACACTTTTTAAAATAGCCTCCACAAACAGAAGTCTGTAGATAGAGTGTACAGGCTATAGCAGTTGTCTCTTCATTCTTTCCTCTGTCCCCAAGCAGTATGAGCTCATAGATGCACATACACACACACACCAACTTACTAAAGTGCTTTACAACATTTGCCACTAAAATTATTCCTTGAAGTTTTTTAGAGTCATATGAATTTTAATGGTAAGGTACTATATTTCTCCAGATATTTAATATATAAACAAGGATTATAATTCATCATTAGTATTTTAGTAAATGAGCCTTGTCTATTCCATAGTTTTATATAAGTGAAGTATACTTCTAAGAAATGGGTCTTGAATATCTATCTGGTTTACGTAATGTTTATTAATTTCAAATTAAAATATATTTTTATTAGGAGGTTGTAATCTGAAGAATAAATCGACTCAGTCTTTGGAATATTGTGCTGAATTACTGGGTTTGGATCAAGATGATCTTCGAGTAAGTTTAACTACAAGAGTCATGCTAACAACAGCAGGGGGCACCAAAGGAACAGTTATAAAGTAAGTTCCTCAACTCATTGCTCTATAAAAATCTTGCCATGGGGTTTGTCAAGGAAAAAATTTTTTGAGAACACGGGTTTAAAGTTCATCTTTATTTATAATTCACTCTTTTCATTATAATGTTCTAAAACATATACTTAGTAGATCAAAATTCTGTGCATTTCACCACAGTAATCCATCATAAAAATTGACCTTGACTTTATAGCTCTTAAAGGTGTTCCTTACAGATATATGGTGTGGCACAGTTTGGGAATTTATAAGGTAGGAGAGGGGTTTACTTTTGTACAACTATGAAAATACAGGGTGGGGCTATAGCAGGTTTACAGTTGTGAGTACATGAAACAGCTTCTTATTGTATTATTAGTTACTAATTGTATGATTTTTCCATATAATTAAAAATTTTTGGAACAACTATTAAGCTACTCTGGTCCCACCCTATGTGAGCTAATTGTGTTAATAAATTTGTTTTAAGCGACAGGTCACTAAATTTTTTTTCAAAACTATATGTTTTGAGTTAATTTACTCTTTTAAATTGTGAAATGTAATGATTTTTAGTATATTTACAAAGTTGTGCAATCATCATCATCATTTAATTTCATAAGACAGCCGATCACTTTATTTTAAAAGTGTTTTTCCTTGCAAATGGCATATACTAAAATTTCTGTTAAGTAGAACTTGCTTTAGTAAAACAGTTGGCAAATGGAATTCCCCCTTACATTTAGGATTCTTCATTTAGAGGAAATTACAAATGATAGGAAAATAATGTGTAGGTATCCTTTGATCTTTGGTTTTCTGGCATTATTTTCACAATTCAGTGCTATGAAGAATTCTCACTGATATGGTCTTCTTTTATAGGGTACCCCTGAAAGTGGAGCAAGCCAACAACGCCCGGGATGCCTTGGCAAAGACTGTGTACAGCCATCTTTTTGATCATGTGGTAAACAGAGTAAATCAGTGTTTCCCTTTTGAAACATCATCCTACTTTATTGGAGTCCTAGATATTGCTGGTTTTGGTAAGCATAGTTTCATTTACGTGTTTGTAGTTAACTGTTTGATTTTTTTTACACACACACACACACACACACACACACACACATATATATATATATATATTTATAATTTTATTTTATTTATTTTTAAAACAGATTTTATTGATTTTTTACAGAGAGGAAGGGAGAGAGATAGAGAGCTAGAAACATCGATGAGAGAGAAACATTGACCAGCTGCCTCTTGCATCCCCCCACCGGGGATATGCCCGCAACCAATGTACATGCCCTCGACCGGAATCGAACCTGGGACCTTTCAGTCCGCAGACGGATGCTCTACCACTGAGCCAAACTGGCTTCAGCTTTTCACACATATTTAAAGTTGAAAAAGTGACTTTTTCCCTTATAATACCTTTTGCTTGATGAGTTTTCATTTGTATGTCCTTACCTACATTTCATTTCACAATATTTAAATAGGAAGCTTATGCTAAAAAATAAGAAAGAAAGATTCATGGGTTTTGGTAAAATTCTGCTAAAATTAAAACATGTTGATTGAAAGTACTATACAGTAAGTCCTCATTTAAGATCATCAATAGGTTTTTGGAAACTGACTTGAAGCTACAAGATATATAACAAAACCAGTTTTACTATAGGCTGATTGATATAAATAAGAATTAAGTTCCTAAGCCTATTTCTGGTAACAAAAGCATTACCAAAATTCTAAATAAAGACCCCAATCACTTCTAATGTTAAACATGGAAATAAATGTGAGCTATGCATACATTTAAGAAAGATGAATAAAAACAAGTAAGAGGATTATTTTCCAAACCACTTAGTCCAGTTCAGGGGCACGAGTGGCCAGAGTCTATCTTGGCAGTTCAGGATACAAGGTGGAAACACTCCCTGGACAGGACACCGTTCCGTCACTGGGCGCACTCACAACCCTCCCACCTCTCCTCACTCAGACCGAGGCAATTTAGTCTCAGTTACCCTCATGTGTCCAGCTTTGGGATGTAAGAGGAAACCAAAGTACCCAGAGAAAACTCACACGGACATGAGTGAAATGGGCAAACTCCATAGAGATATTAGCCCTGGCTGTAAATTAACTTTTTTTCTTCAGAGTTATAACAAAATAAATTTATTCAAGGACCTGCTATAGTTAGGAGATATTTACCTCTGTTTTCTTACATGAATGCAACTGAGTGAAGGTGAAGTCTTGAGTGCTACTATTAAGAGAACTAAGTCATTAAAACTGTTGACGGCAGTGGAGATCTGGGTACAGGCTGACCTAGCGTATAGACTGACCTTATTACTATGTGTAAAAATTCATCATTAGTGTTAATGGTCAACAGATAGCTACTTCCAATTAGTTGCCACTAAATGAATAATATGTCAAGATAAATATTTGAGAACAATTGCAGAGCTGTGCATCCAACAATGGAATGAGTCACTAACGTCTAAAAGCTACTTTGTCCTGAATGACTGTGTTGTAAGAATCTCAGAGTAAATATGACTGTTTTTATATTGGGCTTTATCGGGTTGGGTGTTCCTTTTGACTGAGTGTGAGTGCTGTTTTCTCCTTAGAGTTTGCTTACCTTTGCCAAGGGAAGGTCTGAATGTTTACATTTTGAGAAGGGCAAGATTTTTTATAATGTGATACTTATTTAAAAATGTATAAGTCATTACCTTTTGTTCAAGGGTAGAGAAATACTTATCACTGACTTAAGATTTCACGGTCTTCAGACATTTTGTTTCCTGGTCTGTTAACAGTTTTAGTGTAGTACAGACAATATACAGAAGCATAGCATTTTGAGCTGCAGGGATCTTGGCAATAATGTAATACAATCCCTTAATTTTAGAAATGAGTTAGTATCCATAACTTTTTTATAACTGTAGTTTTACAAATTACACAGAAAAAAAATCTGAAACACTTGCATTTTAAGTAATTTTCTTTAATTTAGATTACTTTAACACCTGTGCTTAAGTTATGTTAAAAGTTATGTTTTATATCTTTTGATATGACATCTCATCTGACAAACATATTTTTCTTAAGCAGGGTATTTAAAAAAATATATTTTGTTGATTTTTTACAGAGAGGCAGGGAGAGGGATAGAGAGTTAGAAACATCGATGAGAGGGAAACATAGATCAGCTGCCTCCTGCACACCTCTTACTGGGGATGTGCCCGCAACCAAGGTACATGCCCTTGACCAGAATTGAACCTGGGACCCTTCAGTCCACAGGCTGACGCTCTATCCACTGAGCCAAATCGGTTTCAGCAGCAGGGTATTTTTAACACTTAATTTTAAGGACTAATAAAATTTAGGTCTTGAAACAAGAGCATTTGCAGAGTATAGAAATATTCTTATCTATTTTTTTTAACCTAATCTTAAATTAAGCATTGATAAAATAAAATGTTATCCTAAGATAAATTTATTAATATGAGGTTGATCTGATGATGACTCTTGCTTCTGGTTTTATGTTTTCAGAGTACTTTGAACATAACAGTTATGAGCAATTTTGCATCAACTATTGCAATGAAAAACTTCAACAGTTTTTCAACGAAAGGATTCTGAAGGAGGTAACTACATTACAGTCTAAATTTACTAACTACATTAAGCTGGCTTAAGTTTCAAGGAACAGAGGCATGCTGAAGTTATCCTGCTTGATGGGGTGTGATGTAAGGTGGCAGGGAATCAGGGCTGCCCTGCATTGGTCCCAGTGGCTTAGCGTTGCTCAGGCACGTCAGAAGTGTTGTTGGTAGGTTGAAGCCTAGGGACCCAATAAAACCCTCACTGGCACCTCTTCATAAGTGGACATCTATTGCTTCTTACTAGTGACCTTTACTAGACTTAAAATTCTGCTTGTTTCTTTTTCTGTTTCTGTTGTCTTTACTTCTGCCACTGCCAGTCAACTTTTGTCCCTGCCCATAGCTAGCATCTCCCACCCTTCCTCTGGGTCACCTGCTTCTGCCCTTTCCGCTACCTCCTGCCCTCTCTGTGTGTGGGGCAGGAAAGCCGCCACATTAGGAGGTTCAGTGGGGCCACTGGCCTGGTGGGCCTCGGGGCAGTGCTGTCCTTGCCACGCTGTCTTGTGTACCGTTAGTCACCCGTGAACAGTGTGTCTTTGGCCTGACATCACCTCTGGTCCCATAAGGAACTTCCTTGTGGTAGCCAGCTTTGGGCACAGCTGACACAATCTCGAGTGCTGGAACGTTACTTTATAATTGTGTAGAGTACAGAGTGAGTACAGGGTCAGTTGATTTGTGATAAGGCGCATCATTTCCTCCCTTGTATTTGAATTCTTCAGTATTTTCCTACCAATACCCTGGACTTTCCTTCCTTGAGCTCTTTGAGGTGTGTTTTACTGAGTAGAGGTAGTGGAGTTAGAGACAACTCAGAAGTAATCTAGGCCAGCCCCTTACTTTACAGATGAAGAGATTCCCAGAGCAGTGACCTCTGCAGGTTGAGCCCACCTTCCTGGCTGCTGCCCCCAGCACTGTGTTCTCTCATGTCAGCACTTCCTAAGTTCTAAGTTCTGTTCTCCACTGTATCTGAGCTGGAAGTGTGAAAGATTTTCTTTTCTACTCCCATTTCACCTTTTCCACATTTTCATTATGTTTTTGTCTTTATAGGTTTCCCAGCACATCCCAGCTTTTATATCTTTACTTGTCTGTATACCATACTTAAACCTATTAGGACATAAATAAACAAATAAAACAAGTACTTACCAGTTAAAATAGTTTCTCCGAACATGTTTATGTTCTTCCGTTACTATGCAAAGTCTTATCTGTATGCTTCTCACTCAACATACCCTAATTCTTCCTTTCCTACTTCTTCCTTTCCTGTTATATAGGGGTGCTTACATACTACAGTGGCATACTGAGTGAGTGATTGTGACAGAGACAATTTGGCTCTCAACTGAATATATTTGCTGTCTGGCCCTTTACAAAAAAAAAAAAATGTGCTGGCTCCTGGTTTATTCTACTGACAGATTTGACTTTAAAATGGCTACAAATGTTACAAAGCTCTGGTCTTTGAATGCTCATACACAGAACTCTGTATTTGTGTATAGCTACTCTCTATATTTCCAGAAAAGTGTGCTTATCTGCAGGAGGGAACATTTACACATATGTAAATCATATGTTTTGCTGGAAATTTAAAATTTTTTGTTGTTGTTAACCTCACCTGAGGATATTTTTCCATTGATTTTTTATTTTTATTTTTTTAGAGAGAGTGGAAGGGAGGGGGAGAGAGAGAGAAACATTGATGAGAGAGAAACACATCAATTAGTTGCTACCCACATGCGCTCATGCATACCTTTGCCTGGGAATCATACCTGTGACCCTTTGGTGCAAGAGAAGAGAGAGAATGATGCCCTACCCACTTGTCAATACCAGCCAGGGTGAATTTTTTTTATTTCATTTGGCTTTAGGAGCAAGGCTTTTGCTTCCCTGATGTTTGTATGTTTCCCAGCCCCCAAAGTAGTTGTGTGAACCTTTGTACTCTGACTATTCAAATAAATATGATCAGAAATGGCACAAAGCAATGAATCCAATTTATATCACATGGTATTTCCATATTCATGATTATGCTTATTACATTTTAGGAACAAGAACTCTATCAAAAGGAAGGTTTGGGTGTTAATGAAGTGCATTACGTGGATAATCAGGATTGCATAGGTATGTATCTTTTTCACTTCACTCTTGGGACATCTGGGAAGGTATAGTGAAGGGTTTTACTTGTGATTTTTCTGTGTTCTGTGATCAATACTTCTAGTTATGAGAATTTATTGAAACTAATATTTGAGAGAGGTTTTATTTTAGTACTAGAGGCCTGGTGTGTGAATTCGTGTACCAGTGGGGTCCCTCAGCCTGGCCTGTGGGGTTGGGTTGGAACCGGCTCTCTGACATTCCCTGAGGGGTCCCCGGGGTTATTGAAGGGCACCCCACCAGTGCATGATTGGAGTTGGGAGAGACCTGGGAGGTTGGCCAGCCAGGGAGGGACCATGGGAGGTGTCCAGGGTGTGTCTAGCCTGTCTTGCTCAGTGCTAATCGGCCATACCCCAACAGAAAGCTAACCTACCAGTCAGAGCATCTGCCCCCTGGTGGTCAGCGTCCGTCATAGCGATTGGTCGACCAGTCAGCGGTCTGCCTCCTGGTGGTCAGTCCACGTCATAGCGAGTGGTTGAGTGATCTTAACATATCATACTTTGATTAGTTATATGGATGACCAGACAACTGGACACTTAGCATATTAGACTTTTATTACCGTATTTTTCGGACCATAAGACACTCCGGACCATAAGACGCACCAGTTTTTAGAGAAGGGAAATGAAGAAAAAAAGATTCTGAAACAAATAGTGTCCTAAAATATTTTATGTGCATTAAAACCCAACATCACAGTCATAAACACATGTAATCAACCCTGTAAAGTAAACAGCAGCATTTAGAACCATTTTAGAGCCGGGCAAGCACACAGAGACCACACAGAGCCGGGCAAGTAAAAAAACTTTTTTTTTTTAAAGTATATGTGTAGGCTATATTTGGACCATAAGACGCAGGGACATTTTCCCCCCACTTCTGGGGGAAAAAAAGTGCGTCTTATGGTCCAAAAAATACGGTATATAGATTGCTAGGAAGTTATTTTTCCTACCAAGGCATCAAATTCAGATATATTGAACGTTTTCCTAAAATTTATTTTATTTACTGTGATGGTATTTTACATTCTGTTTTTCAATTTTAGTTAGCATTCAACATTATATTAGTTTCAGGTGGAATATTTTTTTCCTCCAACGTGAATAATTGCTTAAGCAGTAAAGGGATTTGTTGCCTCACTCAGAACATTGATAGCTTAGCCAGGCTCCAGGTGGGGTTTGACAGGGTTTGGCTCTGCTGTTCTGCAGACACTATTTCTATTTTCTGCACATTGGCAGCACCCTCTGGCTGGCTGCAAGTGGGCTTCTTGAGCTCCATGTGTCCCAGATAATTCTGTGCAGGTCTTTGTTTTTCCTGTCTGTGTTCATTTCTTTGTCACTGTGTTCATTTCTTTGTCCTCCTCCTCCAACCACCCCCCCCCCCCCTCAATCTCCAAAATGAGCTGTTGGTAAGCCTTGTTTGTATGTAACCTAATACACACACACACACACACACACACACACACACACACACACACATATATATATATAATATATATATTTAGAGTTTATAACTTTGTGTAGATTAACATATAAACCTACTTAGGTCACCCTGGATGCTATAAGGTTTGTGTAACCATATCCTTTGATTTGCTAAGTTTAGCAGAAGAGCTGAGACTTAGTTAGGCAAAATTCTTTCCACACCTGCGCCATCCCTGACATTGATGATTGTCAGACCTGCTGTATAGAGATCAGCCAGAATGATTTGCAGATCCAGGGTGCTAATCTGGCTGAAGCCACCAGGGAGACTCTGTACTGACTTCTTCATGAAATGTTCTCATTATATCCTCATGCTGTAAAACTAACATCTCCTCCCAGGGGCAGAGCTTTTCCTGCCATTTTTAAAAACATGGGATGTGTGTATAGATCTCTTTTCTAACTGAGCATGCACAGTCGTGTCCCCACCTGTACATGCGATGATAAAGCTCACTTTGGTGTTTTCCCTGAATAAGGCCAAGTCTGATCCTTAGTTCAGGATGTGTCACTCTGGGAAGTGTATTCTTGCCTGCTGGCTTGCAATGAAATACACTCTCCTAAAACCTAATTGGAATTGTCTTTTCACTGACAACTAATGAGTTAATTGGACCCGGTTCTGTCCAGTAACAGTTTTGAAAACCCATTTTGACAGTTGACAAGATAGTATTATTATAATAATTCTTTATAGTAGTATTACTTCTCATACTACTTACAGATTCGGACAAGATAGTATTATTATAATAATTCTTTATAGTAGTATTCTCATAGCACTTTCACACCCTCCCCGGCCCACTCCACTTTCCCTTCATGGACCATGTCCTTTCCCCGAATCCTGTGCCTTTGGCTCTGTGGTTTGATGTCTTGGATGGTACTCCTCCCTTCAGGCACTTTCATATCTTCTACATCAGTTAGAATGCTCGCTCTCAATTATAGCTTAGTTCAGCATGACCCCCTTCCCACCACTAATTGCCCTCAAACATAATTTTCTGACCAGTTAGAATCTTGATTTCTCTTCATATGCCCTATAGCTTGTAGAGTCTGCCCCATTCACAGTTCTCATATATTGTATTTAAGCAGCTTACATGTTACAGTTATTTTTGGGTAAGCAGGAAGTTCAAACAACATGAATGAAAAGAGCATAAGAATGTGCTGTTAGTGAAGTTTTGCTGGAAACCCTCTGAACACATGTATGCTAGTAGTTTCACAAAGCTAAGCAAGCAAAAGCTCCTGTAGTTTCTACATCCTGTTGAATGTGGATGTCATCTGGAAGAGGTGAAATTTCTGGCTCTTTAGCTTCTTGTCCTCACTAATGGAGGAGTGATTATATTAGTCATTGCTTTAAGGAGTTATTTTTCTAAAACCTATATTATATATATGCTATTACTTTCTAATAAATTGAAGGATTTGAAATAAAATATATATACCTGCTCTCTATAGTTTTTGAGATTATACTTATTGAATCTTCTTTGTAGTTGTGATTAGTAAATTGCTCACATCTTTAAAATATTATTTTTTACTTTATTGTATTTTACTTTTTTGAAATAGATTTAGTTGAAGCAAAATTAGTGGGAATATTGGACATTTTGGATGAAGAAAATCGCCTTCCCCAGCCCAGTGATCAACACTTTACATCCGCGGTCCACCAGAAGCACAAGGATCATTTCCGACTCACCGTGAGTTTACCATTCCAGAATTCAGACTCTGATGGGGATAGAAGCCTTTAGAAAGATAAACTAGATATTAGACAATTAGAATCATACATTATATAGGGCTTAACCTTAGGTTATTTTTAGGGCCAGGTATAATCTTTTATGTGAAGCATTTTAGAAGCTTTTAGATATGATACCGATATGAGATATTATAATTAGACTAGAGGCTCGGTGCACGAATTCGTGCATGGGTGGATCCCTAGGCCTGGCAATGAGGGCTGACCAGGGGGAGGGAAAGGGAGCGGGAGGTTGGCCACTGGCCCCAAGGAGGGAGCCAGCCCTTAGCCCCCTGGGAAAGGGGCTGCATCCACCACCTACTCCTGGCTCCCTGTCCCAGACCAGGTCCATGAAGGCCCTGGTAGAGTTGGGAGAGAAGGTGATGGTTGCTGGGCTGGGTGTGGAAGGAACGGATGTCAGATGCCAGACGCCAACACCCCACCACCTCACCACTTCACGGTTCCCCGCCTCCCCCCTCCTTCCCTCGCTGCCACTGTGGCAGGCAGGCGGTGGGCTGATTGAGGCCTGCTGGCCTAGGAGAGGGATGGGGTATGGGAGGTTGGCTGCCTTCTCCGAGGAGGGAGCTGGCCCTTGGTCCCTTTGGAAAAGGGTGCACATCTGCCACCACCCACCCCCCGGTTCCCTGTCCCAGCTGGGGCCTGAAAGCCCCGGGTAGTGTTGGGAGCGGAGGCAATGGCCGCTGGGCTGGGTGCAGAAGAAACGGCCACTGGCGGTCCGTGGGAGGTTGGCTGTGGGAGTGCACTGACCACCAGGGGACAGCTCCTGTGTTGAGCGTCTGTCCCCTGGTGGACAGTGTGTGTTATAGCGATTGGTTGTTCCAGGTGGTAGGTCATAACGGTCGCTTAGGCTTTTATAGATAGATAGATAGATAGATAGATAGATAGATAGATAGATAGATAGATGGTTTTGGTAATTTAATAACTGATGTATGTATTGTTTTTTTAGATTCCCAGAAAATCTAAGCTGGCAATTCATAGGAACATCAGAGATGATGAAGGCTTCATCATCAGGCACTTCGCAGGGGCAGTGTGCTACGAAACAGTGAGTATGATTTTTACCAGGAGACAATGACTTGATCTTGCAGCTGCGCTGTACAGTATGGTAACCTGTGGCCACACCTGGCCATTTGAATTTAAATTAAATTTAAAAATAAAATTTATTTCTTCTCTATATTGGCTCCACTTAATGTGCTCAGTGTGCACATTGGCCAGTGGTGACTGTATTTACAGTGCAGACACGGAACCTTTCTGTCTTCCTCACACATCCTCTGGGGCAGTGCTGTGCTAAGGGATATCATCAAAATGGACTGAGTCGTTTATCCCTGTATGCTTTGTTTTCAGACCCAGTTTGTGGAAAAAAATAATGACGCTTTGCATATGTCTCTTGAATCCTTAATATGTGAATCCAGAGATAAGTTTATACGGGACTTATTTGAAACATCCACAAATAACAACAAAGACACTAAACAAAAAGCAGGAAAACTTGGCTTCATCAGTGTGGGAAACAAGTTTAAGGTATGTGTGCTAAATACATTACTTGAAAAAAAATTTTTTTTACTGCATTTAGAATAAAATATATAACTTTATATTCTACACTGGATAATGGAGGCACTGTCAAAAATCCCATGAGTGAAGTTCAGAGCAGATCCTGCATTGTTGATAGGATCTGTATGCAAAAAACCAAAAGAAACCACAATAAAAATAAAACACACCCAAATAAGTGTAGTGATTGAACATAAAGAAATTCTTGTAATTTTATGAGTGTCTTCTTTCTTGGTGCTTAACAAACTGGATTGCTTCTCCTAATGTTCTTACTTCTGCTTACTGTCTGTCTGACCTTCACACCTTCTCTTTCCCATGTGTTTTCTGTTTCCTTCCTCATTCAGCAGTTGTGTTCTAGCTGGAGTAGTCAGTCCAGCTCGGGATGGCTAGAGAACACTAGTTGAGTTGAGAGGAAAAGCAGGCACAGCCAGGGCTTCAGGTAAATGATCACCTTCATGGACTCTTATTTGTAGAGTGGCTGCCATGTGCAAAAGAGGCTGTCTCAAGTTGCTGATTATATTTATGATTCATTTTCAGTGTGTTTTCTCAGTGCATTGTGGCTGTGCATATTATGCTAAAATTTGACTGAAGCTTTAAAAAAATCTAAAAGATGAGTGCTCTGAGTGGCAAACCTTTTAAATTGCTTAACATTGAAGACCGTTTCATGTGTTTTATTAATTATGGACCAGGAATTTATTCTTTGGGATATGACAAGGAATTATCAAATGATGTGTCTTAGAAATGGAACACTATACTAATTGGTTCTAATTGTTGAATATTTAGTATAGACTAAGATAATTAAAAGTGTAATGACTAAAAGATTAAAACACATAGAACAAAGAAATAGAATTAATTTCTCTCATAAATTTCCATGATGCATTGTTGTTATGTTTGCAAGAAAACTCTACATATGATTTTCATTCTGTGTACTTTAAATATTAAAATGATGCAATTAGAAATAATATTTAAGTATCAGAATACTATGGTGTTCAGGTGTAAGGCCTCTGGAAATCCCTATGGATTGAAATGGGGTCTAAATAACTAACTCGATAAAGTCATGTTTATAAACCTATATATATTTTTAAAGCCAAATCATAAATGTAGGAGAAATATTAATATGTCCAGTTACATTTTCAGGTAACTGAATAAAATGTTTTTAATTTTGTTATAATCTCTATTTATTGATTATGAGTTTCTAATTTTCTCGAGCAATATTTTTTCTCTTATTTGGATATTCTGAAATTGCTGAAAAGATATGTAACAACATTAATTTAGTGAAATGGATATCATTCATTAAGGATTTTCCTACTATAATGGAATATACTACTGTTGCTGGAAATTTTATACAATATAAATAAAACAACATTCTTAAAATCCTTATTCTTTTATGTTGAGACTTGAAGTGCCTTAAAATTGCTTTTTGCAATAAGATATATTTTGTACATTAAACTGCTGAAAGCCATAACTGAGTAAGATAATTTATCTAATGAAAGAGTAATATACAAATTGACCATCACACCAAGACACAAGATGGCCACCACAAGTTGGCCACTACAAGATGGCCAGCAGAGGAGGACAGTTGTGGGAAGTTAGGGGTGACCAGGCCAGCAGAGGATGGCAGTTGGGGAGACCAGTCCAGCATGGGAGGGCAGTTGGGTGGGACCAGTTCAGCAAGAGAGGGCAGTTGTGGGGGAACCAGGCCTACAGTGGAGGACAGTTTGGGGGGGACCCAGGCCTGTGGACAAGGGCAGTTGGGGAGGACCAGGCCTGCAGGGTAAGGCAGTTGGGGGGACTAGGTTGGTAGGGGAGGGTAGCTGGGAGGGGGCCAGGATTGCAGAGGAGGGCAATTGGGGGAGACCAGGCCAGTAGGGGAGGGCAGTTGGGGGGGACCATGCTACAGGGGAGGGCAGTTTGGAGCCAGCAATTCTTAATTGTGAGGGATGTCCAACAGTCCTTTTAGGCCCGATCCCAGCCTTTGGTCATCCCTCAAAGGGTCCCAGATTAGAGATGGTGCAGGCTGGGCTGAGGGACACCCCCCCCTCCCCACATGAATTTCGTGCACCAGGCCTCCAGTTAATAATAAAATGTAAAATGTTTTTATGAGATACTTTAAAATGAATATTAATAATTTTAATTTAAAATTTAATAGAATAGCTCATTGAATTCAAGGTATGTGAGGCAATAAAAAACAAAACAGGCACTAGCATTTACTATATTTTAGTTGTCCAACATCACTGATAGCAGAAGTTTTTCATTGAAAAGCAACATATTTAGGTTATTGAAACATAACTTTTACTGTTATTGTTTTTAGTAAAAGTAATCCTTTTTGATGGAAAAATAACATTCTGTCATTATGTATTATACATTATGCCCATGGTCCCTGACTGCTGTTCTTTGATATTTGACATTCCCGCCCCCATTTTCTCATTTATAAGCACTATTAGTTAATTTTTGCTGTTTCTATTTTTTTCTGATTTACTCTATCTCTATTTTCTTGGAGAATATTGTGCTTAGTCTATGGATTAAGAAAAATGGGCTTTGTGATAGTTGTTTTCTTTCCAAATTAGTGGCTCTTATACTTGCCTTTCAGTTGTGTGATGGTCCAGATTGATTATATCTTAATCCTATGCTGTCTGAAGTATACTGTAATGTTTCTGGTAAGAGAATGAACTTTGGTGTTAGGCCTCACGTTGGAATCCTGGCTTTGCCATGACTAGCTATTGTTTTCACCTGTAAAGTGAGGCTTAATGTAATATTCTTAATTAGAATTGTGTGGATTAAACATGATAATGCCTATGAAAAGCTTTGAGAATGCTTGACTCACAGAAAGCAGTCAATAAAGTATACTTATTACTATAATATTATGATTAAATATAGCTGTCATTGAACCAGTATGTTAATTTAAGAAATATCATCTTAATTTATCTTTCATGAGCAGTATAATAAACATCTTAGTATAAAATTGATATTAGAATTTTATATAATTGATTTACTTTGTAGAGAAGTAAAGCAAATATACAAATTAAATTAGTACTGAATGAGAGTAAATTTTTGTGACAATATTATTAAAAACAGAAAAAGCATAGTAACTTATAGTGTTCATTGTCAGTTTGTTTTGGATAAAGCTATCTAAGCTTTTAAAAATAATTGAAATGTGAAATGTTTTAAAATAGGAAGGAGGGTTTCTACAGCTAGGCAGGATAGTTTCATTTATAAGCGCTACCGGTATATAAAACAATCTAAACATATACCATTAGTGTATATTTTAAACATGCCTTCATTCTTAATGGATTATGACACAAATTACACCAGCTTGCCACATAATACTGCTCTGCTGATCTTTAACCGAATGCATGCCCAGCATTTCGTTCACTTTTTTCATTGCCTGTACACTTTCTTTGTTTACCCCACCTGCATGTGCACATGTATGATTTTTAGTATTGCTAATATTCAGTTTCCTAATTATACAAGTTCTCTATAATTAAAATAAGTTATTGTCCTTGGCATTATATAGCCATTTACTTTGCATATTGCTGTCAAAGAGCTTGTCTACCAGAAGTAGTTAAATCATAATGTGTTATACATCCATGTTATTGCATGTTATTTCGTTCCACTATCAAAGTGCTAATAATGACATGTGACATTGTGTGTTTTTGATTTTTGGGAAAAAAAGTGATTTTCTTTCTTTTTACAGACACAGTTAAATTTGCTTCTGGATAAACTTCGAAGTACTGTGAGTATACTTAAAAAAACAGGGTTTTTAAATGGTCCTCTTACACTATTATTACTCAAATAAAGTTAATCTGGAATAATTAGAAATGTTTTTTAAACCAATTCCTCCATTAAAAAGAATGGTTTTTAAAATGGTCTTCATTTTCTTTAAGTTTTTTTCTGAATAATGGTTAAATATATATGTGAAAAATTATTATGTAAATATATAGAATTATTTGGTTGTTAAGATTATCCTGTGGTTTAAGGAAAGTGAAAGTAATTATTATAGAGAAGGAAATGTATTTTTTATGTTTAAAGACAATGTATTGTTTAAATATGTTAAAATATTTTAAAATGAAAGACTTTTTTTTCCTTTTTACAGCAACACAATTTTTGGCACTCAAGTAAAAATGTAGTATTTTTCTAATATTATTAGTACATAATATAGAAATTTATTTTAAGCTTTAAGTAATAAAAGTATGCTAAGTTTTTAGTTCCTTACTGATTATTTTTATTTTTTTAAAATATATGTTATTGATTTTGTACAGAGAGGAAGGGAGAGTGATAGAAACATCGATGAGAATCATCGATCAGCTGCCTCTTGCACACCCCCTACTGGGGATATACCCACAACCAAGGTACATGCCCTTGACCAGAATCGAACCAGGGACCCTTCAGTCCCCAAGCCGACGCTCTATCCATTGAGCCAAACCAGTTTCGGCTATTTTTTATTTTTAAAAATTAAAATTTTAAATTATTTTTTAAGAATTAAAAATGTTTTTAATTAAATTTATTGGGGTGACATTAGTTAATAAGATTGTATAAGTTTTAAGTGTACCTTTACATGATACATGAATATCAAAATATTTCTTTTTGATACATGACCTATATACTACATCATCTTCCATCACCATATATTTGGCCTCCTTTACCCTTTACTACACTGCCCCATGTCCCTTCCCTCTGGTAACCACTGTACTGTTTCAGTTTTATATCACACATATTAATGAAATCATATGGACCTTAGCTTTTTTTTTTACTTACTTTGCTTAATGTAATATTCTCAAGGTCCATCTATGGTGTAAATGCAAGTACCGTATTTTTCGGACCATAAGACGCTCCAGACCATAAGACGCACCAGTTTTTAGAGAAGGGAAATGAAGAAAAAAAGATTCTGAAACAAATAGTGTCCTAAAATATTTTATGTGCATTAAAACCCAACATCACAGTCATAAACACATGTAATCAACCCTGTAAAGTAAACAGCAGCATTTAGAACCATTTTAGAGCCGGGCAAGCACACAGAGACCACACAGAGCCGGGCAAGTGAAAAAACTTTTTTTTAAAGTATATGTGTAGGCTATATTTGGACCATAAGACGCAGGGACTTTCCCCCCCCCACTTCTGGGGGGAAAAAGTGCGTCTTATGGTCCGAAAAATACGGTATTTCTTTTTTTTTTTTTTTTTTTTTTAAATATATTTTATTGATTTTTTACAGAGAGGAAGGGAGAGAGATAGAGAGCTAGAAACGTCGATGAGAGAGAAACATTGACCAGTTGCCTCTTGCACACCCCCTACCGGGGATGTGCCCGCAACCAATGTACATGCCCTTGACCGGATACGAACCTGGGACTTTTCAGTCCGCAGACAGACGCTCTACCACTGAGCCAAACCGGCTTCGGCTGCAAGTATTTCTTTAAAAATTTTTTAAAAATTGATTTCAGAGAGGAAAGGAGAGGGAGAGATAGAATCATGGATCGGCAGCCCCCTGCTGACGATTGAGTTCCTAACTCAGGCATGTTCCCTGACTGAGAATCTAACCATTACCTCCTGATTTAAAGGTCGACCCTCAACCACTGAGCCACACTGACCAGGCAAATTCCAGTGTTTCATCTTTTCTTATGTCTTAGTAGTATTCCATTGTATATATGTGCCACGTTATCTTTATCCAAATATTTATTTATTTTTATTAAAGTATAGTTGGCATATAATATTGTATTTGTTTCAAGAGTAAAACATAGTGATTTAACACATGTATATTCACATACCTTTCTATCTATCTATCTATATCTTAGTGATTATTTTAAGAGAGGTTCAAATATTGATGATAATATGCACTGAAAGTTACTTGTATTCATAGAAATAGAAAAATGAGAATGCTATATGTATTGTCTTAAAAAATACCTTTATTCTCCCAGGGAGCGAGCTTTATTCGTTGTATAAAACCCAATTTAAAGATGACAAGCCATGACTTTGAAGGTGCTCAAATTTTGTCTCAACTTCAGTGTTCAGGTATTCCCATGTTTTTATAATCCATATCAGTGTGTGTTAGGAGTCTGAGCTCAAACACAATAAATATGTACAGTGCTTACAAAAGTTTCACAATTATCTTGATTTTTAAGTGTAGTAAGATTTTTACCTTAAATTTCCTTTAATGATAAGAAAAGCATGCTGGCAATTATTCGAGTAATACTGGGGTATAGTTATTGTGAAAAAAAAAATATTTAACAGCATTAAAGTAAAATTTAGGAAAACTGTACACATCCGTAGCTCTCTTTCCTGTGGCCTTCTCAGCTCAGCAGTTCATTTCTCATCCTCCCCCAACCCTCCCTCGCCTAACTGGGTCAGGAGGTAGGGTTTGGTGTCTGTTTCCCACGCCACCGCTTGTAAAAATGAGAAAACACATTGTCCTCGGCTCCTGTGGAATTTGTATGCATTTGGTCAGACTATCGCTTCCTCCCTCCCGCCTGGCCCTTCTGACCTTGCTGGGTCACAGAAGTCTTAGGCACCAGGCTCGCTAGTTTTCCTTTACTGCATGCCCTTCCTCCGTCCCCCCTGGAACTGCTTGTTCCCAAGCCATCAGCCTCTCCTTTCCTCCCGGTCCATCTCAGGGTCCGGACACTTGCTTGAACCCCTGCCTCTCTGACTCCTTGTTTCGCTCCTCTCAGAGGTGGGTTTATTATAAGGCTAAGGTCACTTATGCTCCAGGGTTCCTCATTTATACGCCAGTACCCACAGCTCCTCACCAAACTCCTAGCGGGAGGTCCAGGTCATAGGAATTTCTAGAAGGGAGAGTACGTGGAGTGGTGATTTTTATTTTTCTAAGCCTGAGAAGATCTTTTAAGTAAATTAGCTTGAAGTGCTAGGAAGCAGCCATTGGCTTGGTAATTGGTTAAGCTCCATGAAATTCTCAATGGATGTCTTTGAGCCAGTTCATATGTTGTCCGCAGTTACTGGTCAAGCTAAGGACTCAGAGGAGGTGGAAGCGAACTTTTCCAGGGATACTTGTGTATTTGATATAAACGGGCAACAATGGTCACAGTATCAGGCAGACCTTATTTTTATTTATAAGTAGAGCCTAGAACTAAATCCAGTTCTAGAGATTTCTTTCCATAGGAATGATTGCTTCTCTGTGTTTCATTGATGAGTATTAAAATTTAAAATAGATATATATGTTGTTGTAACAAAAATGAAATAGTAAAGAAAAATATAAGTAAAAAGTCTCACTTCTCAGTAAGTCTTGGATATGTTTTCTATACTGGTTAGATAAGTCATATTCTTTTAAATGAACACATCATATAGGGTCGCAACATGATTTTTAATATTTAAGTTATTTGATTTTTTCTATTATAAACAATGACCAAGTGGGTATATAGCCATTCTCTATGCATGTATTTGCCCACATGTGTGACAAGTTGTAGGATAGATTCACGGAAGTAGAAAGGACTGAGTCAAAGGGGGTAAATATTTCCAAATTGCTATCCAAAATTGTTGCACTGGTTTACTCTCCCAATAAGAACGTGCGTATGTTTTCCTACACTGTCACCAACCCCGAGTGTTACTGGTGTTTTATCTAACCTTACCTAGCCTTTCCCATTAAAAAAGTTTAAAATCCAGTCTGACTGCTTAGAAAGGCTATCTTTCCCATGAGGTGATTTTAAAATAAAAATCTGCTTTTTAACTATAGATATTTTATTGTTTCATTTAGCTAATTTAAAATTTTGGCTGGCAGGAATTTATTTTTATATAAGTGAGATAAGGATCAGATGTTAGTTTTGTTTTTTAAATGTCTACCCATTTGTCCTATCACTTTTTACTGAATAATGTTATTTTCTCCATTGAGTTGAATAGTCTCAGAATCTGAAATTCAGAGGTTGTTTTTGGTGAACAAAGGCTTTTGGCATTATTTATAGTTAAGCTTTTCCCTGACTATTTTATGCTTTTTTTTTTATATGAAAAGTTCACATGGACGCAAGGCTCAAATTAACCACCTACTAGAATTTCACTGAAAAGAGATTTGCATCCTATACGCTTTTTATCCCAATAGACTAATTTCTCTGAGAGATGAGTGAAAGAGCATCTTTATAGTGAAGCAGTGAGTGCTTCTTGTCCATTTGCTGTAAGCACTGGAGAGAATTTGGGAATATGCTTGACTACTACTTGGAAACTCTATCAGGAATCTTCTTCTAAAATTAACCTCAGGATTTGGAAAGTGGCCTAATGCAAGCCTTTTATACTGTGATTATGATCCAGAGGTTTGTAGCAGTAAAAAAGATACAAGCTAGATTTGAGCTGTCTCGACACCAGGAGTTTGTCTCTAAAAAGGGGGTTTATTCAAGATGGCTAAGTGAAACTTACTGTGATAGTTTGAGGTGGCGGGTAAGTTGGGACATATAATAAGTATAAATATAATATTTTCTATGTACTATTTTCTTGCTGGCAATTCCTATAAATTGTACCTTTCTAAAAATTAATTTGTCAAGTTGATCATTTGCAAGTAATTTTTTGACTGCTGTGCAGTGATCAGCAATAACACGTATTTGTTTATGAATCTAGGCATGGTGTCTGTCTTGGACTTGATGCAGGGGGGCTTCCCCTCACGAGCTTCATTCCATGAACTCTACAACATGTATAAAAAGTACATGCCAGACAAACTCGCAAGACTAGATCCAAGACTGTTTTGTAAGGTACAAATATCACCTGAATTGAAATTTCTTAGCTATAGGTGTCTTTCTTATTAATTACTGGTTGTCATTTAACTTTTTTCTTTTTCAGGCTCTTTTTAAAGCTTTGGGCTTAAATGAAATTGACTACAAGTTTGGGTTAACAAAGGTGTTTTTTAGACCCGGCAAGGTAAATACATTATTACTTTAAACTTGAACATGATGAATATGAATAGTTGGGAGATAGGAGTCAATGAATATTTTTAAGTGTTTAGTGATTTGAACTATTCTTGAATTATATGATCACCAACAGGATGCATATTATCAGTATGTGAGAAGTTTACAATGTGTAATACTCTGTACAAGTTTTACAGTACTTTTCAGCTTTGGAAATAATGGAATGAGAGCATCGTTTGATTGGATTTTTCATTGTTTTATTGGATTTTTTTTTGTTTTGTTTAAATAAGGGTTAGCCAGAAAATATTTATGTTTTAAACAGTTGAAAGCTTTTCTAAAACATATTAATTCAGCCTTAATAATTAGAAACTTCTCAGTACTTTTGCGTCTTCATTATGTGGAGAACAAGTTCTAGTGATAGATGTACAGGGTTTGGGAAATTGGATTGGAGTTTGTGCTAAAATGCATTTCTCTCAAATGCTAGAGTGAGTGTATAAATACTTTTGTATGTAATGTAATTTTCTTAGCCTCAGCCATAGTTTTAGTATTTACAGGTTCTTGTGCTAGGTTACAAGATTGAGTAAAGAATATTTCAGAAGTAAATAGGTATAATATAGAAACACTTAAATGCTATTCAGAATCAGTTTATCATTTCACCACTTCTAACTTTTAAAATATTTATTGAATTACATTTTCATAATTTTAAACACATTTGATATTATATAATAGTCAACTATACCGATTTGACTCAGCAAAATCATTAATAAATATCTCTAGTGCCTTAAAGACTACACTAATCATAATAAATCTGATTTTACATTTTTTGGGCATGAAATAAAATCTGTGTAATGCATTAGTAATATATGTACTTTCCTGTGACTATTTTTACTTCAGAGAACCCATACCATTTCCTATAAAAATTTAAGAAAAAAAATGATTATGTAAATATTCATTGTTGGCTTAGCTGTAATCATATATATTTCTCATAAACTCAACATTTATTTTATTTCAGGGCTATAGTAATATTTTAGAATTAACAACCTGATAGAAAAAGCACTTGGTCTTGTTTGCTTCCAGATAAGTTGATCAGTCAGAAAGAAAAGTTAAAAGCACAAGGCATATGTTCACAGATCTTTAGTCTCATTATGTTAACTTTAATTTTGATTATAAGAAACCATTATATTGATAGGTGTGTCACCTCAATGCATTATAGTAGGATACAGCGATTTTTAACCGGAGTGCTGCAAGCATTTTTAAAACATGCAATACCTGAATATTAAGTCAGGGGCACTGCCCTCTTTTCCATTATATTATCAAATTAAAAAATAACAGCAGCCAACACAACAATAGCCATCCAGTGTGAATGAATCAAAATGATATCTATTTTTTTTTGTCAGATCGGTAAAAAAATATGTTTTTGGTGTGCTGCAGAATTTTAGTAATTAGTTTATATGTGCCATGATATGAAAAAAGTTGAAAACCACTGGTGGAATATTTTGTAAAGGATAGAAATTATTATGTGGTTTGGGGATAAATTGTGGAAATGAAATATTTTATTAATTATTAACCTAATAACTTTTATTTGTGTTTTCTATCTCTTGGTAACAGTTGCTTATCTCTAAAATAGGGATGGGGTTTGGAGGAGATGGAATAGGTTTGGTGGTACCTGACATTATATGGCTGACCTTGTCACTGGCCAGGAGCTATGTACAGATACTGAGAATGTGGATGAGCCAATTTAGAGACATATCAGCCTTTCTTTTTTAATTCTTTTTTTCAGTAAAAGCTTTTTGCTAACCATCTATAATTGTCATTTAAGATTTCCCCCCCCAAATTTTAGTATTGAATCTGCTAACTATCAGTGAGTCTCTCACCTTTCCCCTCCAAGTTCCTGAAGGAAGAAGGAATTAAGAGCGAGGCAGCTGTATGATGCAGTATATTGGGTTTGCTGTAGACCCCACTGAGGCTTGGGATCATTTCCAGAAAGTTAGATGTTGGGTTTGAGTTCTAGTTATTTTATATCTCGGTGTGTTTAAGTCTCTTTATCTTTTAATATTGATAATAAATTATTTTGTTTCCTAGTTTGCAGAATTTGATCAGATTATGAAGTCTGACCCTGACCATTTAGCAGAGTTGGTTAAAAGAGTCAACCACTGGCTTATCTGCAGTCGCTGGAAGAAGGTTCAATGGTGCTCCCTCTCAGTCATCAAATGTAGGTGTTTTCTTCCACACTAGGATCTGTAATTAGTTTGGAAATGAATGCTGTGTGGGATTTACAAAGTTGTCTAGCAGAGAGTGCTGGATAGCAGAGATTCCATCGCCTATACACCTTGTTTTTCTGATTCTTCTAGATGCGTGTTGGTGGACTTTCTTTTTTTGAGTGTATGTGATACTTCTTAATTTGGATGTATGATAGGAGAATTAATTTCATCGTGTCCTAAACAGAGCAGAAGTCACTGTCTTGATTCTCCCCCCCACCCCGTCCCTCCCGCCACCTTTTCCACACCATCCCCTAATCCAGGGGTCCTCAAACTTTTTAAAGTGGGGGCCAGATCACGGTCCCTCAGAGAGCTGGAGGGCCGGACTATATGAACTACTAATTCCTACTGTAACACCTCGGCTGCGCTCACTGCCCAAAAAACCTGGCAGGCTGGATCAGACTCCTCTGCGGGCCGCATGTGGCCCGCGGGCCGTAGTTTGAAGACGCCTGCCTCAGATTTGAGCCAGAACTCTTCCCACTTGCATGGCATCATCAGTATAACATGCCACAAATTTCAGGGTTTTAACGGTTCCTCCTTTCTTGTCCCTGAAATTTTGTCAGTCAACAGGCCCTGTTGATTCCTTCTCCAAATACTGTACCGTCTTCCCTCTCTGTTGCCAGTGCCTTCGTGTAGCCCCTCCTCCGCCTGCATGGAGGCTTCAGTGGCTCCCAGGCTGGTTTTCCTGGATTCCCAGACTTCTCTCTCCAAACTAAAAGCCTTGTATGGAGGCTCCCTTGAACGCAGAGCAAAGTCTAAAGTCTTTCAAGATCACAGAGGGGGGCTTCAGCTGTTCTCTTCACCCTTCTCCTGCCTCTGCTCCCTCAGACCCTGTGCTCAGACACTCTGCACTGAGCTGCTTTCTCTTGTGTTTCTGGCAAGGTTGTACGGACAACTTACCTCTGACCCCAATCAAGGGTGAGGGGCAGAATTTTTTTTTTGTTTTGTTCTTAGGGTCTATGGAAACCTTGAATTGTAGGGAGCTATTGTGAGTAATTTGATTAAATGTATAATTTTCTTACCTTCCAAACTCACCGAATACCTGGAATAGTGCTAGACACATGAAAGAGATTCAGTGTAAATTGTTCCTTATTAATAGAAAAATTAAATTCCTTTGACCTAATGAAAAGGAGCTGTTCCAACGTTATTATTGAGGTGTTTTGTTAGACAATTATGAATGTAGGTAAAAGGATTGCTATAATAAAAAAGGTGAAAGAAACTCTTTCCTCCCTCATTTTCCAAGTAAAATATAAACAAAGTTATGACTATAGTTTATTGCTTTCAGCTTAATACATTGCATGTTGATGGACAACACATTATATTAAAGTTGGCTATACTGTACCATTTGTTCATGGACTGTGTTGTGCAGTGGGGAAATCAGCAACTAGTCAGGATCTTTGCAGGATTATAGAGAAGCTCAACAATGTTTCGAGGTCAGAGCAATCTAGGACATCCTGGGTAACTAAAGTTAAATATTAAATAAGTACCTTTACTGTAGGATTGTCAGAAGCTTCACTCAATATGTTCATTGTGAATCTCCAAAAGTAGTATTTAATTTTTCCTAATTCATATGACAGATGATTCCTTTTTTTAAAGACATACCTATTAATGTTTCATAGACCAACATTGCCTAGGACAGTTTGAAAGACAGTGGTGTAGCATATCAAGGGAATAATACATTTTAAATGTAAATCTAGTAGTATACATGGTGTGCTTTTACTTTAAGAAGTATACAAAATTAAATGTTAAACTTCCTGATTTTGATGTCTGGTATAATATGAGAGTACATGTTTCTTGAGAACTGCTTTGTGAAAGTGAGTGGTTTTTAAAACGGTTGTAGGACTGAATTAAATAGAATAATTTTCTATCATGCTTTTCTCTTACCATAGTGAAAAACAAGATAAAATATCGAGCTGAAGCCTGCATTAAAATGCAGAAAACTATTCGAATGTGGCTTTGCAAAAGGAGACACAAACCTCGGTAAGATGACTAATAGTGCCTAAAGAATCCCACAAAACCTAATTACTCAAATACGAAATGACTATGAAGTCATAATGAAGAGCGGTGGGGATACTCAGAGTTTTCTCTTTTCTCACTTTTTTTGTAAAAAGATAGATTACTCTGTTATTTGCATGATTTATTGGAAATGAGTTATTTGACTACTTTATTGCTAGCCTCTTTCTATTATACAAAAGGATTTGAAGAAGCTTACAGAAATTTAGACACTATAAAATGTTGAAATAAATGGAATGAAAGAAGAATGAAAGAAGCTCTTTTATTCTGATTATTTTAGTGACTCGAGTTTCTTGACAAATGTCACGTTGACATAGTTTTTAAAAACTTTATTAATATAAAAAAAAACCTTACTAATGTTATCTGAATTATCTGTAGCAATTGTTTCGCTATAAATCTAGTCTTTATATCTTATTTACTTCTTTTACTATTAATTGATACTCTTTAAACTTGGAGGTCTGAATACCTGTTGATATTTAATACCTTTTAAAGAGACTAGGTGACTCTTTCAAAGTCTTCTATAATTTGATTTCTCAAAACTTTCAGTGTAAATATAGAAGGCTCCAATCCTGTGGACAGGTATCAATGTCATTCACACCCATATTTGATTATTCTTATTTTTTTTTACTTTCAACAAGTTATCTTGAAAAAATATACTGAATAATATGAAAACAGGAGTAAAATGTCTTGCTTAATATGTTTTGCATTTTATTAAAATGAAAAATCAATGTATAGTATTGCATAGTGAAATTAGACTGACGAAGCATTATCTTTACAGTATCGACGGTCTGGTTAAGGTGGGCACACTGAAAAAACGGCTTGATAAGTTCAATGAGGTAGTAAGTGCACTGAAGGATGGAAAGCCGGAGGTGAATAAGCAGGTCAAGGATCTTGAAATTTCTATTGATGCGTTAATGGCCAAAATTAAGGTATGTAATTTTAATCTAAATGGCTTTGACTTTCTGAAGTGATTTAATATCTTTTGGTATTGGTGTTAAAATTGTATTTAAAAATGCATTACTGTGTTAAGGATACAAAGTGTTACAGATATTGAGTCCCAGTGATGACAAGTGATGCTCATTATAAGTGTCCCCTAATGGCTTGAAAATTTCCATAGCAGAACTTTAAAAAGAGCAAAGTTAAGCACTTTCATCTGTTGCTAGGAAAGATTCCTCCCCCCCAAAAAATAGTAACTAAAATACTCTGTAAAATGCTAAAATGCTATTCTATTTACTTTAAATAGTAATTAGCTACTTTTTTGGTAAGCTTTTGTATAATCATTACTGAGAGAGGATTAATGCAAATTATTTTGTTTCATGTTTTTCTACTTTCAGAAACTAATTTTTAAATGATAAAATTAATGTTATATTAACAATTTGGAGAAAAACACCAAAAAATCCTTACCAAAGTAACACATTTAACTGTTTCACTATTGTAAATTTCCCTCCCTGTCTTAGTCTATATGCATGTATTTTTGCATAGTTCTTACCCTAATGTACATTTAGTTTTCTTTCCCTATCATCATGCCATATGCCTTGTTCCTATAATTACATTATCTTCATATAGGCTGTATCATAAATTACTTAACTGTTATGAAAATAGCAATTTTCCTCCAAATTTGTCAGAATAAATGGGGCCTTTTTTGGTATTGATTTTCATTTATTTGATCATCAGTGGGATTGAAAAATTTTCTGTATGCTTGTAATTACATTCCATCTGTCTCTTCATATCTTTTTCCGTTATTTTTTAGGGTGTTAATGTTTTTCTCATCTAGCTAAATGAGTCAATGCAATTATGTGGATATAATACCTTAAAGCAAGCCTTTTATTCTATTTCCTGCAGATATTTTATGTAGACAGTGGTCAGTCTTAGAGACAGAATGGAGAAAGAGGAACAAAAGAAAAATGAAAATGCTTTGGATAAGCTTAGCCGATTTTACAAATCTGTTAAGAGCCATCCATGTTTATATGGTATTAAATAAAATCAACCAAGCCACATTTTCTGAAGCCTCACTTAGGAAAGTCATCCAACAATTTGGGATGTATTTAATAATTTCTTAAATATTCATTAAGTACTGTTTGAACATTATTAAAAGAGTAGTAAACTGTCAAAATTAATAATTTCTTAAAAAATAATTGTTACCTACATTTTGTCCACTTTAGATATATGATTACTTGATTAAAGGAAATAGATGTAGAGATTTGGTGGAAAGGTAACTTTTAAGTGTACAAATAGTGTAATAAAGATAATGGGCTTATAGCTTACCAACTTTTCCAGTCTTTGCTGTGTATGTCCATATTTATTTTATTATAAGGGCACATAACATTAAAGTTACCATCTTAACGATTTTAAAATGTACAGATTCAGTAGTGTTCAGTATATTCACATTGTTGTGCAGCAGAAGAGATAACTTTTTAAGTACATGTTTATTATTGTTTTAAAGTCCACTATGATGACAAGGGAACAGATACAGAAAGAATACGATGCACTAGTTAAAAGCTCAGAGGAGCTCCTCAGTGCTTTACAGAAAAAGAAACAGCAGGAAGAGGAAGCGGAAAGGCTGAGGCGTATTCAAGAAGAAATGGAAAAAGAAAGAAAAAGACGTGAAGAAGATGAACAACGTCGAAGAAAGGAAGAGGAGGAAAGGCGGATGTAAGGCATTCATATTGTCGTTTTGAATTAGAAGCTAACAGAACAGTGAACTCTTGGTGGCGTTGGTTGATATACAATATCTTCTTATTTTTAAGAGTAGTTTTTTATTTGAAAACTAGAGGACCAGTAAACAAAATTCGTGCACAGGAAGGGTCCCTAGGCCTGGCCTATAATTAGGGCCAATCAGGTCCCCCACTTCCCCCCTTTCTCCTTTCCTCTCTCCCTCAGCACCCCTCCGCTGCTGTTGGTCGCCTGCCATGTCCCACACTGCCTACTGCTGGTCAGAGAATGTCATAGCGAGCAATCGAACTCCCTGTCTCCCAGTTAAACTCCTGAGGGGGAACTTTGCATATTAGCCTTTTATATATTGTATATATATAGATACTATAGTCATATGCTGCTTAATGATGGACATATGTCCTGAGAAATGTGTCATTCGGTGATTTCATCCTTGTGTGAGCATCCCAGAGAGCTTACACAGACCGAGATTGTATAGCCTACTATAATACACACGTAGGCTGTATGTATGGCATAACACCATTGTATATACAGTTCGTTGTTGACCAAAATGTTGTTGTGCTGCTCATGACTGTAATTTTAGAATACGTTTGAAAAATGGGGGAAAAGCCATAATATCCTAACATAAGATGATTTTAACAATAATAGGAATTTTGCTTAGATTCTTACACCTGAGGATCTCTTAACTTCCCTTTAAAGCAGTGACTCGTGCATTATTTAATAAGCTAGAAAAAAGGCTCTTCTACTTTTCTGCAGTTTTAAAACTGGTAATGTTTTGAAAGATTTGCATAATTGGGTAGACAGAAGGAACATGAGTTGTTTAATTGGAGAAGGAGTAGAGGGAAGCACATATAATCAGAACCTTGCAACTAGGATTTGTAACCAAGTTACTCTAGAGATGTTAAAGGTTATGCAATATAATGTGTTTGTTTTGTTCCAGAAGATTTATTGTCAGTAGAGCTAGATTATATATGGTCAGGAGGTTAATGTGAGCCCCCATTCTGTAACTTTTGTTTATTAATAGTTTAAATTGCCTTCTGAAGGATTCCTGATTTTTCTATAAAGTTTTTGAAGAGTTAGTTTCTTTCTTTCTTTCTTTTTTTTTTTTTAAGGAAACTTGAGATGGAAGCAAAGAGAAAACAAGAAGAAGAAGAGAGAAAGAAAAGGGAAGATGATGAAAAACGTATTCAGGTATGTACTGATTAGACATTTGAACTGAATTTCTATCAAAATAGAATCTAAAAAATTAAACTAAAGAAGTGAAAGCAAGATCTTGATTTGCTAGATAAGTTGTCATTGGTTTATCTCAGAGATGAAAAGCAGTATCTGAAATGGTTATGGCAGGGACTTTGGAGTCAGGGACGTGTGTTAAAATCCAGCCTCTGTCCCTGACAGAAATTATGACATTGTACAAGTCACAGTGAGTGACTGTGGGCCACAGTTCCTCTCTGTGGAATGTGGGTAAATAATAGTTGTATCAAATGAGTTTACACATGTTAAAGCATTTCGAACAGTGTTCAGTTCTGGGCTGGCTTTAGCTCAACGGTTCCTTCGGCTACACAGACTCCTTGTTGCACTCCCTCATCAAACAGTGTTCAGTTCAATAAATATTAGTTTGTTGTTATTATTATGCCTAGGGGAAAGCCAGATGAACATTTATTTAAAATATAATTTTAAAACGTACATTCCTCCAGTTAAACAAATCATAAAATATTATTTTATAATGTTGTAGATACTAACAGTAATAAATTAGGATAAGATTCTTTACTCACCCCATTTTTTAAAAACTCCATGTCTGAGAGTAATTGATCATGTATTTGAGTTTCTTGGCTTTATTTAGTAAAGACCTGGTGCATGAAAATTTATATACTAGATGGTGGATCCCTCAAGCCCAGCCTGCTCCCTCTCACAGTCTGGGAGCACTCAGGGGTGGGAGGTGACCAGGCGATCAGGGCGAGGTGATACCCCATCATATCTCTGCTGCTGCCACTGCTGGCAGTGCAAGCCTCAGCCAGCCCTGGTTACCTGAGCCATGGAGCCCTGGGCAAATGCCATCTGAGGCTTGCCTATGCTTGGGGCCCAGCCCTGGATGGCTGTGGGGCTGAGGAGACTGGGCTCTGCCATCTTGTGGCTGTGGGCACTGCCAATTCCCTCCTTATTGGCTATGGGCACCACCATCTTTGCAATGGCATGAGGGTCAATTAGCATATCCCCTCTTTAGTAGCTAGGATCCTGAGCACAACCAACACCTTACATTCCTGACATCTGCTTGCCTGGTGTTAGTGTAAATCTGGTACCTGGGATACTGTGATATTTGGGACACTCCATCGTTACGGAATGGTGGAAGTATGGTTTCTCTGCCTTCTCTTAGATTTGGGAAGAGCAAGTATAAATTATAATGTAGAAGAGAACGGAGACTGAAGAGCTTTCCGGTTAGATGATACATTCCTTACTAAGGAACTTGTCTGAACAATTTAAGTAGCAATGGGAATGACCAAGGAGACATGTGGGGACCCTTGGGCGAACCCGCTTTCTGTCCGTGGCAGGCTGAGGTGGAGGAGCAGCTGGCCCGACAGCGCGAGGAGGAGTCCCAGCAGCAGGCGGTGCTGGAGCAGGAGCGCAGGGACCGCGAGCTGGCGCTGAGGATCGCCCAGAGTGAAGCCGAGCTCATCAGTGACGAGGCCCAGGTGGACCTGGCGCTCCGCAGGTACTGGGCTGGCCGCTGGGCGGGGTGTGGGCTCCCTCTGCTATCTCCCTTCATGCCTCTCACTTCAGCCTGACGGGAATGAACAGGAGAAATCATGTTCCTTAGGTCCTGGTATATTTTAAGTAAAATCACTTAAACCTTATCTGTATCCATTCTTATACCCAAAGGAATGAAACAAATTGATTTTATCGAATTTTTAAACTATTGAAGGACAAAACTGATAACTTCAGTTTGCGAGTATTTTAAGAAAACGTATCAATTTTTACTCTGATATTACTAAAGAATATTGCATCTTAAAACTTCTTGTTTAAGGTAGACATCTAATTTCTAAATACCTGCCATTAAATACTATAATAGAAATCAGTCACTTTACTATAGTCCAGTTTAATATATTTGAGGTTGGTATTTATTATTTTCCTGATGCAAATTATATATATCCTAACATTTGAAATGAGTGGAAATTTTACACACACATACACGCCCTATGTATCAGAATAAATACATCTCCTTTTCCAAGAAGGAAGGTTTGTACATTGAAATATTTTGGCTCCTAAGGTTTCTGAATTATCTCTAAATACTATATGTTGTTGGAGTATGGAGCAGTATGGAAGTCCTTATTAAAAGTTTCAGGAAGGGTCATTTTAAATTTAGAATATAGAAATATTAGTTATTTTGATTATTTATAAAAACAGAGCAAAACTATAGTTTGTGGAGTTCCTTTATGTGTAGGTATATATGATCTGTACATACGGTGAGGCACATTCATATATGTAACTATGCTTTTCAGAATGTGAGAGCACTGTTTATGACAAAATATAATAAAAAATAGTAGATGTTGCTGTTTCCTTGTGAAAGGAAAAACATATATTATAAAGCAGTGCTTAGGTTTTATTTAGCTGAAAACAAGATAGAGAAGGAAAGGGCATGCTAACTTACCTTTCCACTTCTTCTAGTAAATGATTATATTGTGGAGTTCTGGGGCCTGAATTGTATATGGAAGTATATTGTATTTAAACAAACTGAATAGGCCTATCAAACACAGGTATTATAATAATTTTCTAAGCTGTTGGGTTTGAGTCCAATAGTTGGGCTCTTGGTTCACATTTCGCCATAATTAAGTCATTTCCGTCCATCTTTGGCTTTTGTATGTGCAGACTTAGCTCAGCTGCTGTTCCATTCCTCCCAACGTAACACAGGAAGGTTTGTACATTGAAATATTTTGGCTCCTCAGGTTTCCGAATTATCTCTAAATACTATATGTTGTTGGAGTATGGAGCAATATGGAAGTCCTTATTAAAACCTGTGTTATGTTGCAGTGACCGGGCGTCTTTGTGTATACCTGACCAGTGGGCTGGCCAGGCTCTTACAGCTGCCATTCCTCATGTGTGAGGACACACTGAAATGGGCAGAGCTGGCTGTAGTATGGCTGAAAGTATATTTCTAAAGGGCTCATTCATGTAGTCACTATTGGTATTCATGGCCAAGCTTTATGTGTGAGCCTTTGCAATATTCAGCTACATCTGGTACCATTCCTGTACTGTGTGTAAGATACTGGCTCATATGTGCACCGCTTCCCATCTTCAGAAAGATGCACCTCTTCCAAAGCGGGTGGTCTCAGGGAGAGAGAGGACCATTTAGGACCTTTGACAGAAATGACAAGCCACCTGTGATTTAGGTGAAGCAGAATTAACTAGGGAACGGGACCACAACTAAGTGATTAGGGGATATTCAAGCAGTTGTAACTTGAAGGGAGGAAGAGTGCATCTTAGTTCTCCCATGGGACAGGCCTGGAGATGCTGTCCCTCCTCTCGAATGCCCACTGAAGGCCTGCCTCTGAGCCTCTCTCCCTGGAAGCTTTCTCTGACCCCGGGCCTGTGAGTGCTTTCTCCTCCAGATCGCCTGGCTAGTGTGAACTCTGCACTAGAAGCTCTAGCGCTGTGTTACGGATGATGTTCCATGCCGATGCCCCATGTTTGATAATTTTATCTTACTCCAGGGCCTAACTTAATGTTTTTGAATGTTTATCTTGCCTTTGTTAGTACTGAATTCTTTCTAACAATTTATGAGTAAGAACTCCCTGCCCTGTTCTTAATGGGTTCTTCTTGGGTTCTGTATGTTGATGGATTCTGCTGCAATAAACAATTTCAAGTTACTTTTCCAGCTCGGATACCCATCCAGTAACTTCTAAGTAAGAATTATTTTCCACACATGTAATATGTTTTAAAATAGGATCTCAATCAATTACACACATGATCCTGGATGCAAAGTTATGATTTCACGTAACAGGCATACCTTGAAGATATTGTGGGGTCACTTCCAAATAACTGCAATAAAGGGAGTCATAAACTTTGTGCTGGTGGAGGGTCTTGTCTTCAATTTGTAAAAAAAACAACATTTTTGAAGCTCAATGAAGCAAATCACAATAAAACAAGGTATGCCTGTATCTGAAATTATGAGTAATCTCACACGTAGATTAAGTAAAGATTATGCACTTTTTAAAATCAGTAAAGTCACTAACACCTAAGTTGGGCACAATCCAGATTTTCACAATTCAGAATTGTTTATGATATTAACTAAAATGTATTCTTTTCACAGAATTAATGGAGCAAGACCCAAAATGACACCGTATGTGGTTTCACTTTTTACAATTTGACTTAGTTGTATAACTTTCCTTTTAACAGGTTATGGATGCTTTTTAAGGAGAAATCATTTCCTTATTGAAGTGAATTTTACATTATTTCCTTTTCTGAAAAAGAATAAGATAACTCATTTTTTCTTTGCCCAGGAAAGATGTTCAGTGCTCTTGTATGGTGTTCAGTCACAGTAGTTTGTGACTTGGTTTCCTTCTTTGAGTTTTCTAACATTGTTTAAACACTCATTTTGTTCTATGTGTTTTTAATTATTTACTACTTACTGTCTTTATAGAAACAGATATGGAGATATAACTAAGAATAAATTAAATATTTAAAGTATTTGAGTCATAATAGATAGCTTAGTTTCCAGCAGGTATGATAGTTTATTCTACTGATATCTAAATAGTTTATAATCTGAAGTTATATATATAATGCTGGTTTTGATGCCGATGTATCTTTTTGTTATGAAAATCTCTCCATAGAAAGAGAATCTAAGTAATATTTGGGATATATGTATAAAATACATTTTTTGCTTATATTTTATACATACTATACATATAACATTTTGGAATATGCATAAAATATGAGTATTAATAGCTTTTAGGCCCAACTATTATAGTAATGGTTCTCAACTCCTCAGACACAGATACCAATAATGTAAAAATGATGCATGTGTATGTATAGTTCTCCAAACAGTGCATGTTAAAGAGAAGTAAAAGCTTAGTAATTTACAATGAAGCAATAGTTATTTTAATATGAAAAGTGCTTGGTTACAACTACAGGAAAATGTAATCAAATACTCAAATGTTTGCATGTATACATAGGATCACCATGAATGCAACCACTTCAAACTCAAATTTATATAAGAATGTTATATCAGTCAGTAAATGCCATGCAGCTGTGAACAGTCCTTTGTAAAGTTCTGGACAGAGTTAAGTTCTCTCTCTCCTTTTTGCAATAGGTGCATTCTTACAGAAATTATCTGAATGATAAAACCAGGCAAAAAAAGTTCTTCCACATGTAAAACTTTGTTTCCACGTAAAACTATGTGTGTTTGTGCACTTCACCTCAATGTGTGAGCATGGTAAAGTCCCAGGAGGCATAGGACAGCTCTTCCTTGTGCAGGACATTTGGCATCCCTGACCCCTCCCCCCATCAAATGCCAACACCATTGTTCACCACAGCACACCAGGTTGTTTGAGCATGTTATTGAGTGGATGCTCTCACCCTCCATTAAAATAACTTCTTTATAGTTAGCAGATGAGCTTGAATTCAGCCCTGTAACCGATGGCCGAAGGTGAAATTGTGAGCATCTGCATATAGTCTGGGAAAATCAGAAGGGTAAAGCTCCTGGATGCAGGAACCATTTCTGTTCAGTATATTTGCTGTAACATAGGGTAGGCGAGATATTAAATCAGTAGAGCTTGCCATCCAGTGAAGTTAAGGGTATATAGAGAAACTGTTATACGATTGACAGTCCAAGTAGTGAGAGAGCTTCGATTCCCTTGAAGCCCGCTGTGGGACAGGAATCGGGGGAGCTTCAGGAGAAAGCGGTGGTAAAATCAGAGGTGCTCTTGGGTATTGATAGAAACCTTGGGGAAGGTGATAATAGAATTAAAAATAGTTACCAAAATCATGCTGAGTTTGAACATTAGGAAATTCTGACCAGCCTGAAGAGAGGTTGATACATTGCTCAGTAGGCAGTTTCTTTAGATTACATTTGTGTTTTTTACTTTGTGTTTCTTGTCCTTGATCACCAGTTTTGAAAGATTGCTTTTTCTCTGACTGCTTGCTCAGCTAGATCTCCATCGGTACCTGGGCTTAGCCAGTGTCAGTGCAGGAAAGAGATGCAGCAGTCCGGAGTCTGGGCCAGTGTCCAGGAAACTGCCCTGAGGCCCAGCTACCATCTTCTTTTGATTTTTACTGGTTTATAGGACTTGGGGGTTTACCAGAGTCTGGTGAATAGAATGAGTGAGAAACTTATTAATTATGAAGGAAGACAGCGGAGGACAGGACAGGAAAATAATAAGGTTAAAATATTCAGGAACATGATGAAACATCCATTCCATCTCACAGATTTAAACAAATACTGAGAAAGTTACACTCTTTGGGGTAATAAGAGATAAGTAAGTTTTGTCCGTTGGGAAATTTTTGTCCTTGAAAAGTCCGAACACTTCTCATCTTAATATTTAACAAGTACTTGATGCATTTGATTTTTTAAAAAATGAAAATACGCTTTGATCTAGAATTCTAAAACTTTGAATACACCAGAGTTATTTAAACTCTGGCAACGTAATATAGATCAACTTGTTTTACCACCATTATACCTTGCTAATTAATATCTTCTAAGCAATCCAGTGCAACATTTTTATATAGAATCTATATCCTGCCAAGTTTCCTGTCTGCATTTAGAACATTTTATTCTGTACATAAAAAATAATACCACAGAAGCATGGCTCTCATGAGATTTTATTTGAAAGTTCTTACTGCAAAAATAGGAAAGTTCAAATAACAATAACTGGATCTACACAAAAAATTTGCTGTATTTTATGGTTATGTATGTAAAAAAGTATATTGCAGACTTTTACAAAGTAAAATAATAGAGAATGGTTATTAACTCAATAATCCTATTGAAAATATAAATATTTTTAAAATGTAGAATTTTAATTGTGCTTTAAGATATTTAAGTACTTTATATGTAATTGTCTTTTATATAACTCTGTTGTATTATCATTCTTTTATAGGGAACAAATGGCGAAAGAAATGTCAGAAATCTTGAGTAGGTTAGTGCAGTACAATCTGGGGAAATACGTGCCACCTCAAAGTCATATTTTTAAATTACTTGTCAATATTTGGACCAGAACCTGTTGTATGAAAAACATACTCTTTCCATGTATGTTTTCTGTACGAGAAGTATCACTTCACTCTCACATAGAAAAAGATAACAAGCAGTGTTCCCATCCATCGGCATTCTCTGGTGAAACCACTGGCTTTTTGGATTAGACTCTTCCTTGCTGGTAGAACTGCTGTGCTTACCACTGGCCCCCAGTCTCTTAGGGGAACCCTTTCTGTCTTCCTGATGACATGAAACTCCCTCTAGGGGTGCTGCTGACCCCTGGCCGGGAACCACTGTGCCTCGTTGAAGGGAGAAATCCTACTCCAAGGATTTGTACACCACAGTACACAGTTTAAAAGCCACTGCTACGCCCTAGCCAGTTTGGCTCAGTGGATAGAGCATCGGCCTGTGGATTGAAGGATCCCTCGGACTGAAGAGTCCCATAAGGTTGCAGGCACGAGGCAACCAACAGATGTGTCTCTTACATTGATGTTTCTTTCTCTGTGTCTCTCCGCCTCCCTTTCACTCTCTCTAAAAATCAATGGAAAAAATATCCTGAGCCTCCAAAGGCTATAACTTCCCAGCAGGATCTAGTCCATTACCTTTATTAAGTGGATATGAATCAATAAAATTTTAACTGTTAATTTTGAGCTTACAAAATTAATTGAAGGTGCCTAATATATTTTTAAAAATCAAGTCAATTTTCCCACTACTTTATTGTTTACATCACATGTGTCAAACACAAGGCCTGCGGGCCAAATCCGTCCTGCCAGGCCTTGCAATGTGGCCCGCACCGCGCTGTCATCACTGCACTCCGCTGCGTTTCCATCACAATGACAGTTTATGACTGTTCAGTAAACCATTCGGCCCGCGATTTAGGCTGGATTTTAGATTTTGGCCCCTTCTCTGATTGAGTTCGACACCCCTAGTTTACATGAATATCTGTTAATCGAGTCTAAACAATAAACTACAGCTTTATTTTACTGTTTTAATATTTCCAAAGGTGCATTTTAGTCATGTATTTCTTAGGTTGCTGAGTATGATTTTAGGTATATTTTTGTTTGAGGTTATATGAATTAAAAGTTAGTAATACCAAAATCATATCTTAAGCAATAATAATTTGAATTCAGTGTTATTATTTTAAAAAGTATTAAAACACACCCTATGTGTATTGACACCCCATGTATTTTCTGACAATCTATAAATGGTATATTATGTAAATTCAGTTTTTCTTTCAAAAGAAAATAAAGTAACAATAGAAAACCCATAACAATTTTCAGCTGCTCTCCTAGAAAGGATTCTTAGAAGAGCTAAGAAGAAAAGAGAATTTTTTGTTGGTTTATTGAATGGTATTTTAATGCTACAGAAAAGGAAAAAAGAATACATAATTTGAATTAATGTTAAAGCATAATTTATTGTTGAGGGTAATAGACCTTGCTGACACACAGCTGGCTTGTTCTGAGCAAAGCAGTTTAGAAAAAAGAGCTACATGGCAAATTGCCAGTCACACAGCTTATGAAAACTATGGATTCTTCAATAAACCCAAAACAGATTTTAACCACAAGAAAGCAGGAAGGACTAAATGGCCACACATTCGTTTTTATTCAGGTTTATGTATGTCGAACAGTTTTTAAGTATGTAGGCTGAAGTACGTTGTGCTTTATTCTCTGAAATGAAAGCATAAATAGGCCTTGTGAGGAGGCACAAGCAGCTTATTTCATTGGTAAGCTTACTATTAAAGAAATAATTTCCTTTATTTCAGGAAGGATACATATTCTCCCACATCATTTTCCAGTCAGTCTCATTATCTGTGTCTTGACTGTCAGGATTATTGTTATCTTTCAAAACATAAAATGATGAGAAAGTAGCCCACTTTAGTGTTGTACCTTGATTGTTGCTCTTTGAGAGGACATTTTTTGGAGAAGTGTATGATAAAGGTGAAATTCCTTGTTTGATGCCTGAGAAGTAATATTTTAGTTCTTTAATATTTAGTTATTTGTGCCATCTTTTCACATCTTGAAATACGATGTGTTTAAATCCTTCCTTGGTTACTTTGTGCTTAAAAGTCCATTTGCCGCTTATTCTGAGTGTCTCCTCTGTGGCTAGTGTAAGCTGCTGGAAAGTAATGTTCATTATTACAGAAAACAAGTTGTTCCCGTACTTTCTGAATAATTATTTTAAGTTATGTACACACCTTAAGCCCCAAGTAGCACTACAAGGAAAAAGTTGCCTTTATCCCATTTTACTCTAAATGTATTATTTTATACATATTTTTTAATTTTTAAAATGTGCTTCCTCTCTTTCTACTCAATATTCCTGTTACACTGGGCGAAATATAACACTTGTGCCCTTTTTAATCTCCGTTATCAACTTCATGACCTAAAACCGCTTCCTTTAATTTACATATTTGTCCCTCACTAAGTATTTGAGTGTGGTTTTACCTGGTTATAGAACAGGGGTGGGGAACATCTGGCCTGCCAGCAGTTTAAGGCCCGAGATAACATTTGGTCTGGTCCTGCCAGAGCAACCACAGGAGGGACTCAAAATTCAATAAATCAAGGAGCTTATTTCATAGCAACAAAAATTGATATTAAGCAAATGATGTTATAAATATCCAGATGGCCCTTGGCAGAAAAAGGTTCCCCATCCCTGTTATAGAACTTTTTTCTAAGGGTTCTTTAACAGTGAAGTTAAAAGGTCACAGGAGTTTCCAGGTCCCAGCAGCTTTGTGAGCCTTTCTTTATGACCAATGTTGCGGGTTGCATTTTAGACATTTACCTGTGGACCCTGTAAATACCCAGATGCCTAGGGAGAACCTGAGCCGGGAGGTGTGACTGGGGCTTGGCCATCTGTAGGTTCCAGTAATCTGCCGGTGATGGTACTGTGTGGCCCAGTGGCTCATAAACAAACCCTTAATGTGCTTGCTTCTAATGATGTTGTTCATGTATGTTGAGGATTTATTTTCTGATTTTGAAGAATACATATAAATGCACTTTTTAACTTTAGATAAACCTATGGTACTAGAATTTGGAATCAGAAGTCCTCCTAATATAGCTATTAAATGGCATGCTGGAAATTTTTAATTTGCCTGGGCATTCTATAGTACACCATTCTTCATTTCATCCATCAGAGATACAAAACTTATGTCTTTCTTCCAGTTCCTAAACTTACACTCACTTTCTTGCTTCTTTAGTTAACATTTCATTCATGTTTCTAGTTTAAATATGTAAAACTATGTAATAATTGCAGAGGTCCTGCTGTACAAGCCACCAAGGCAGCTGCTGGAACCAAGAAACATGATCTCAGTAAATGGAAATATGCAGAACTACGTGATACCATCAATACTTCTTGTGGTAAGTGTATGGAAAGGATGAAAAATGGGAAGGCTTCCTGTATTTATGAACAAGTAATAAATACCCAGCTGGGGGTACTATTTTTAAATTTGCATATGAATTAGTATAAGCCATCCTCTTTGTTCCTATTACCTTGAAATGAAGACCCAATTTATCCACAAAGCTAAAAGGAAGACATACTTAAATAAGTTAAATTCATTTTGCTTATCTCTTGCCTAGGTCACTGAAGGAAAACAGAGAGAAATTATGGTCTGGGCTATATTAATGACTGTCCATCTCATATAACTTATATAATTAAAACCATAATCTTTTGGTCCATGATGCAAAGGAAAAGTTGGCAATGCAGTCCTTCCTTTTATTTTTTAAAAACACGTTTTTATTGATTTTAGAGAGAGGAAGGGAAAGGGAGCAAGAGAAAAATATGAGTGATGAGAATGAGTCATCGATCGGCTGCCTCCTGTACGAGATCTGCTGCCTCCTGTGTGTGCCCGTTGGGGATCAAGTCAGCAACCCGGGCAGTGTGCCCTGACTGGGAATCAAACCATGGCTTCCTGGTTCATAGGTTGATGTTCAGCCACTAAACCACACTGGCGAGGCCAGTCTTTCCTTTTTCTTCCAACAGGATAGAGTAAAATACTGTATCCAGAGGTTCCCACATAGTTGAGTTCTTGGTTAAATCACAGTGTTGAATTCATAATACTATAAATAGGAACTGAAGTGTCATAATTGTACAGACTTCTCACAATGTTCTTTCTCACCTCACTGATTTTATCTGCATAATTACAAACAAAAAATGTGTTGCATATAAATCTAGCTTGCATTTGAATACAGTAACTTCCTTTTTATTCTGTTGTAGTAGTCTGTGACCTTGGACAAGTGACTTAACCTCTGTAATTTAAGTTCTTCATCTATAAAAGACCTATTTAGTCCAAGGTGGTTTTTTATTTGTTTGTTTGTTTTTTTGTTCAAAATTTTTTTGTTGAACCAATTATATAAAATAGTAATAATGGCTCTAACCGGTTTGGCTCAGTGGATAGAGCGTCAGCCTGTGGACTGAAAGGTCCCAGGTTCGATTCCGGTCAAGGGCATGAACCTTGGTTGTAGGCACATCCCCAATAGGAGCTGTGCAGGAGGCAGCTGATCAATGTTTCTCTCTCATTAATGTTTCTAATTCTCTATCCTTCTTCCTTCCTATCTGTAAAAAATTAATAAAATATATTTTTAAAAAATGAAATAAAATAGGAATAATGTATAATAAAATTCTGTAAATATAAAAGATAATATTACCATAAAATATTCATCTTTATCAATAATTAGCTTTTAATTTGTACTATTACTTTAAAACTAAAACTTTATATTATATAAATACTTCTATAAAAACTATATATATATGTTTATGCCACAGAATAATTATGCTAGACAACTAAATTAGGATGTTCTTTTTCTCTCTCTCTCTTTCTATGTAATTGGTAGATATTGAGCTTCTGGCAGCTTGTAGAGAAGAATTTCATAGGAGACTAAAAGTGTATCATGCTTGGAAGTCCAAGAACAAGAAGAGAAATACTGAGACAGAGCAGCGTGCTCCAAAGTCTGTTACTGATTATGGTAAAAACAAATCTGTACTTCGGAATGTACTATACATAAGACATTTGGGTGACGTGTCCAATATGAATGTTTTCTTACTATAGAACTGTGATCCACTGAACTTAGCACAACCATGATGGCTTTCGCTCATAGCATTATTTTTATTAAAAAAATGTAAAGTCTTATTTGTTAAGAAGTATTGAATTTACTTCTTAAGATACATTCTAGAGGTAAGAATAATCCTGTCTATAGTGAACAGGTTGTACAATAATGTTGTAAATATGTATTTCCCCCATATAAGAGAAATAGTACCTTGGTTTGTTCTAAAGTTTTGCCAAGATCAGGATTTGATATTTTGACTGATTTCCAAAAAATGAATTTTGTTACTTTGTTATGCAAAAGGGAAGTTCTATTCTTGAAATTGGAAAATAGAGCAGGGTAGACATAACCTAGTGAAAGTATGCATTAGCTTTAACATTAAATTGAGAATACCTTTAATATATGAATAGTAATTTCATATATTTAATTTCATAAAAGCAATAATTGGAATTTGGTTAGTTCAACTTGCTACCTTTAAATGGTCACAATTTATTAGCCCAATTTTGGTTAAAGAGACATCAACATCATATGTAATGTCTTTTTATTTGTAAAAGGGTACATTCCATTTAATAGTATAGTTTGGTAATGCATGACCCAACTTAGGGGATGAACTCTCAGTTATGTTTTGCCTCCTTCACCTTCCTAGCAAATAAAAGCAGTTTTTGATTAAAGTCACTTAAGGGAAGGACTTTTAATGTTTACAGGTTGTTGCAAAAATAGAGGGAAATGTACTATTAAGAGAGCTGTTAGTGCTGGTCATTGCTCTAGGGGTGCCATCAGTCAGAACATGACGCTCTGGACGGGCACTGAGAAGTCACCCAGAACTAGGAAACAGCAAGTGGCACACCCTCTCAACATTGACCTTCTCTGACCACCACTGCGTTCTCCAGGTTAAAACTCTCTCTGGGAAATGAGGAGGAGAGGGTGCGTCCATTGCCTGTTCACTGTCTGCACCAGGTTTCCAACCAGTTACCTTTGTTTTGTAAAAATCTCAATGGGCTGTTCTCTTTAGCTCTAATTTCCTAAGTTGGCTGATAGTCTTTGATTATGTTTTATTTGGAAATTTATTCATTTAAATGATTACACTTCTTTAAAAAAAAAGAAATTAATGTTACATTCACATTTTGAATGCATATACAAATATTCCTTGTATTTTCAAACCAAATTTTGATAGTTTCTTCACCCAAATTTGCCCAAAAAAAGAGCAAATAATCCATGGCTCACCTTGCTGGTGCTTATACTATTTTCATTCGTAATATATATAACATTTTGGAAGAACAAAAGAGTAGATTCAAAGTGCCATCCACGTACAAATTTAGGAATTTTATGTGAACACATTTTATATGTAGCTTTCAAAGAATTTGATTATGGGCTACTTTCAGGATAAAATGTAACTTCTGCTCTGAAAATTACTATTTTTCTCTTTTGTTCTCTCATGTAAAACTCACACAGGAGCTACAGGTATAAGGACACCAAGATACATAACAAGCTTAGTTGAGAAAATTCTATACTTAGGGAGTGTACTAACAGGGCCGCTGATTGGCCTTTAAAAAGAACTGCTCTGTAACTCAATACTTGGAAGGATTTGAATTCATCAGTGTGAGAAAATAAAATTATAACAGCTGTGATAAACAAAAATATAACGAGGTCATTGCCTGTAAGAGTAATGCATGCACAAATAATGGTAATTTCTGGAGTTAGGAGTTTGGATCCTCATTCTGTCCTCAGGATGAGCATGCTCTCATCACGCTTACTGCAGTCAGAGATTTTCAGGAATAACTTTGGTGCAGTGGAAAATCACCCAGTAAAAAATTATAATATTTAGTTGCTTAAAACAAAGACTTTGGAGAGTAGTTTTATTTCATAGTTCCTAAAATAAAAATGGCATATGTTTAAGATTTAAACAATTTGAAGAAGTTAAAACATCTTGGGTACATGTGAACATGGCAGGGCATTTTCTCTACTGCATATAATTTCGGATGAATTTAGAATTTACCCCCTTTTTTCCCTACAAAAATACTTGCAATGTCTTAAAGTTACTATAATGTCCATTATTAACTGATTGTGTTGGATTTTTGTTTGGATATTACTGTGTCCCAAAATCACAAATGAAATGCAATTTTTAAATTTTGATCCTCTTTATATGTCCATCAGGCAGAATTTTCTAAAACATAATCAAAATAGTTAAAAAAAAAAAAAAAAGAAGGAAAGAAAGCAAGCAAGCAGCATCTACTTGTGGGTCTTTGTCTATGGAAAGGATATTTACTTGTTAGTCACCACCTCAATTGATGGAAAGGCTTTATAAATTAGAAGAATGCTCACTTAACAGTTTTGGCACTTTTATCTTCAACATAAAATATTTGTTCACAGATTTTGCAACATTTTTGAACAATTCACGTAAGTCAATGGGTGGTAACTCATGAGCTAACTGGAAGATGGGTTAAAAATACTTTATAAAGCACTAACTTCTATTAAACATTGTTTTGCTACAATTTTTAAGTGAAACTATAGTATATACATTAATCTTGGTTTATCTGTACTAGATATTTAATTTGAGATGATACTCTTATTTGGGTCACTCCAAAAAATAACAACAAAATTTAAACTGTTGTTTTATAAAGTTACTTCATTTTAAGAAATATCTAGCATTTTAAACTGTGAATATGTACAATTATTATTGTAGCAAAACTCTATCTTAATAAGCAGCTGATCTTTTAGAATAAAGACTAACTTTAGGTGCCGGTTTCAAACACTGTGGTGGGATAAGCATGTCTGTTCAAAGGGATTGGAGTTCTGTATGATAATACAAATGCAGATTTAAAAGGACACCACTTCATAGGAAGAAGAGATTATTCTGCTACGTTTGTTGCTTCCTGTGATGCACTTTTTAAAATATAATTTAAAAGATTTGAGTCATCTTAATGTGCAGTAAATTTCTTCTAGAATCAGTTTCAACAATCATTTGGACATACAGTAGGTTCTCAAATAACTTTGTTTTACTCACTGTCCTTCTGTTATTACATTGAAGAACTGCCTTAGGAACTTAACTCTTGTTGATATCAATCAGCCTATGGTAAAGTTGGTTACATTATATGCTATTTCACTTAAAGTCACTGAACCTATTAAAGATATTAAATGAGGACTTACAGTAATACCATATTTATTTGCCAGCTGGTGAGACTTGATTTTTGAAAGTGCTTTTTAGTAATTTCTGGGGCTATATTTGAAACCTATTTCACGCTTTTGAAGATAACATTATTGGGTGTGAAAGAAATAGTTGTTTAGAAGATGAATTTCCATCTTTTAATGTCTGTATCTTTGTACTTTCCCAGATGGATATTGTCTCCCCAATACAATTTCAGTTCTCACATTAGTAGAAAAAAACCATCAAAGAATTTATGTTGGGTTTCTTAATTTTACCCACAATATTAAGTTATAGGAGACTGTTATTTTAAAGAAAAAAGCAGGTTAATTTAATGGGTGGTGATCAGTACCCTATTAAGTATTGTGTCAACTAGACATTGAATTCTAATTCACTGCTTAAGATGAAGGATTTTTAAAACCCTTTTACAATATCTTACTTTGAGTTAATGTATTTTCTTCAAAGTAGGTAGTTTTTAAAACGTAAAATGGAAGCACTGAACTGTAAGTAGTTTTTGGTGGAACAGGAACAAAAGAATAAATAAGCTCCTCTCTGCTAACTGCTAAAGGTGATGCGGCTTTTTAAAGCCACTAACAAAGCTGGGCATCGGTCTCCTTCTTTCCTAGGCATAGAGAGCTTTGCTAACGGCCTCTTGCTTTCTCTGGTTTGCTCAGAAATAAATTAGAAAGCTTTGGCTGTTGGTGTAAAAAGTAGAATAAGAGTATTTTCATCCTTTTGGTATTTGGAGATTCTTACAAAAGCCATATGGCTGTTCTTGACTTACACATATTATATAATTTCTCACTGACGTACTTAGTTTTTCAGTGAGACTCTTAATTGAGCTGCAGTAAATGGTGGGTCCACTTTGAAAGTTGTGAGTATAAAGCGTATTAAACAGACTTTACCCAAATTACGTTACTGAAAATGTCAAGTTATTGCCCCAGAGAAATGTTTATATTTGTAGATAAAATAAAAACCCAATTGTTTAGTAATGGAAATTGAGCAAGGGGAAAAAAAGTTTATTAACAGGAGGGTAATACCCAGTACTATCAGAAAAGTAAAGAGTTTTTTCCTATTGGCAAAGAGGACCAAATATTATACACTTTTCACTTATTTCAATGGGTCTTACTCCAAGAGAAATCTGTTTTCAGAGTAAGTAAATATCTGAGGGAAAGTTTGTTCAGTTTTTTGGTCTTTGCTGCTGTTGTAAAGTCATTTAAATAGTATTAGTGAAAGATATGTATTATCTTGGCCATTTTAAATCCCAAGATTGGCCAAAGAGGAAACTTTTGTCTCCTATCTTTTTGAGGAACTTGTGATTAATTGACAAATATCATCTATAATCCTTCAGATTAGTATAATTACTGTTTGTTTTACCATAAATAGTCCTGTAAAAGTTACTTTTCTGCCTTCATTTGAACTCTTTGGAGGAAAAATATAAATCTAGCAAATAATACTATTTTGCTTTCCTGCCATGTGACTTTATTTTAGGTTACTGATTATTTTAGGGTATTATGGCTGCTGCTTTTGGGGTGTATGCATGGGTGTGTAGGTGTGTGTGTGTGTGTGTGTGTGTGTGTGTGTATATGTGTGTGTATTTGCAATGTAAAGGAAGTTCTTTAGGGAAAGAAAATTCTGAAGAAATTACACTGTGAATTGTATTCAATTATAGGCAATTATTATTTACATTTTGTTTTAAATTTACTAATAGGAACCCCTCTTCTTTAAAAAAAATGTGCGGTACATTTTAGGATTCAAGGCTGTTTTGTTATCCCTGGGGCTGCCGGTGTAACTTTCCTTGTTGTGTGCAATAGCTCAGCAGAACCCGGCCGCTCAGCTCCCTGCCAGGCAGCAGGAGATCGAAATGAACAGACAGCAGCGCTTCTTCCGCATCCCATTCATCCGCCCTGCGGACCAGTACAAAGACCCGCAGAACAAGAAGAAAGGCTGGTGGTACGCCCATTTCGACGGACCTTGGATTGCCCGGCAAATGGAACTCCATCCTGACAAGCCACCCATCCTTCTTGTGGCTGGTGTGTATGACTCACAGGGAAAACATTTATAAAGGAGGAAAGGGTTATAAGCTCTGAATGAAACAACCTAAGATATAACGTAATAATTCATTAGAAGTTCAGGATTGGGGGATGGAGTTTTGCAGTTAAATCACGTTTTCAGTTTATCTGAGGCTTAATTTATTTATTGAATAATGTGAACTTGCTTGGATGATGTCCTCGTAGAGCACAGAGAAACTTGTCTATGTCCTAAGAACCTTTCATTGGGTATTTAACTATATCAGTTGATCTGTAACAGTTTAAGGAAATGTAGCATTTTTATTAGCCCTCATCATTTGATCAGTTGTAGTGATGGTACATTTTGAAAGGGTTTTTGGTGGAGGACAAACTTTTTTTTCCTGGTGCGTTTATTAAGCAGATTTCAATCTTGGAAGAAAATAAAGTTTTGAAAGTTCTCAAGTCTATGAGAATTGATAGATACTTCAGGAATAAGGTTTGTAACAGTAGTTCTGAAAGAGAACATAGGAATTGTCTGCTGTCTCATTTGTGCAGGTAAGGATGACATGGAGATGTGTGAGCTGAACCTTGAAGAGACAGGCCTGACTCGAAAGCGTGGTGCTGAGATTTTGCCAAGACAGTTTGAAGAAATCTGGGAACGCTGTGGAGGCATCCAGTACCTTCAGAATGCAATTGAGAGCAGACAGGCGAGGCCCACGTATGCCACGGCCATGCTGCAGAATCTGTTAAAGTAGCTGTTACACGCTGAGCTGGCAGCAGGGAGCCCCTGCCGTGGTACTAGGTAGGGTGTGTGCCCAGAGATTTAACCATTCCACGATCATGTTAGAATTACTTCTACAAAGTGAACAGATTTTATTAATCATGGCTTTTTGTTAATTTAAGGTTAATTATGGTAGTGATTTTGGGACCTAAAAATTATTTTCCTATAAACCTCTTGTCATTCTCATACTTGTTACACTTGGACAGATTCTGATATGTCTCATTCTCTGCAGACTGCCTTAAGTCCATCAAAATTGTTCTCTAGGAAAAGAAATTTGAAAAATAATTCAAAAGACTCGATTTCTAAGGACGGCACAGTACAATAAAACTGGAATAATGAAACAGCTTAAGTTTTCTTACAAAGATTAAGGCATTTAATATTTTCATTGGAAAAGCTCTCTACTTTCTTTACTTGCCTTTGCAGAAATTCATGGCAATGTCTATCAAAGGTGGACATTTTTATCCCCTCCCTTTTGCAGAGTGTCTTAGTTTGAGTAAAGCCATTCGCCTGAAGTTCTAGCATTCTAGAATGAGCCTTATGTGATTGATGTACTTGTACTTGGTGGTAAAGAAGGTACTCATAGTATTCTGCACCAGTTTTTCTTTTCTATTACATTGTGTTGCTATAAGAATATTTTTCTTATATTCCATGGGGAAATAAAGGAAATTCAGATCATGTAAGTGCTTTAAAGTTTTGGGATAACTTTTGTTTCATTTAGAAAAGGAAATAGGTTTAGGTGGCATTGTGGCTTAACTCTACTGAATTCAAATATTCCTCCAACTTCATCTCAATTGTGACTTTTATATCAAAATCTTGTCCAAGTTGTTTCATATGATTTAGGCTAGTGTTCTGCTTCAAAACATCCTTGTTTTAAAAAAGTTCGTAGTGTCTTTGGCCGTTGAGATTTTGGTAATTGTAGAGCTGTTTTATAAGCTTTGTAATTCAAAAGTCCTTGAACTTGGTAATTGCTTGTTTCATGTAACTGATAATTTAAAAAGTTTTCCTTGTGTGCTGTTAGTTTTGATCAAATGTCAGCAGTTTCTAGCCTAATATTTATGACTTTCATGTTAGGAATTGGGAGGCAAAAATACATCAAGGAATTATGTTGACTTAATCGTAAAGAGTCTTGTTTGTATTTTAGAATAAAATTAGAAAATAAAAATACTCTCTTCTGCATTCTTTTTTTCTGATTTCAAATGATATTAACTTTTGAACTGAGTTTTCAGTGATTTTTTTTTCCCCCCTAGAAAGAGTAACTCAGCTAGGAAAATATTTCCCAGCTGATTAGATTAGTTTTCAGACACTGTTTTTAGAATCGCCTCTCTCTTCATGTCTTTGAACAGAAATGTTTACTTATTACAATACTGTGCAAATGATTGTCTTCTATTAAAGAAATTAAACAGCCCTGCCTGTGCTGCCGAGAATGTGAAAATTATGATCTTCTGAAGGGTGTGTTACTCCATAGACTCACCCACCCTGTGTCATTTGGTTCCTGTGATTGCTGACAGAAAGGCCTGGTGACTGACAATAAGTGACCTGTGTTCTCTCTTCTCATCACTCGCCTTTAATTGGTGCTTTTATTTGTATAGGATAGAGAATAGTAAGTTTTGTTTCTTAACTAGGAACAAGTAAAGTCCTTGAAGGAAATTTAGACACCAAATATATTTTTAAGGACTTGTCTTCAGGAACAGTTTATGTATCTCCCAGACTCATATAGCCACCAGATGGAAGACTAATCAACCATACAATTATTATAATGAGAGGACTTAGCATTTTGAAGAATTTGTAAGAAATACATCACAGCAAAGCATTGTTACAAGTCTTTTACTTTAACAGCTAGTGAAATTATAGTTTTAAGCCATTTTGTTGCTAATTATGTCACACAGCTGTCCTAGAACTTATCTATTTAAAGTAGTCTCCTGAGTTAGCTGTGACTACCAGGAGAACTGCCCTAAATCAGACAGACTCACAGTAACCTACATACGGATATGCACATACTCACAGGGAATATGTGACTATGGGAAAACTTTGCCGGGAAACTTAGGGCCTCGCCAACATTTCAGGGAAAGAGCAGAAATTGTGTGTTAAACGATGTTGATGCAACTGCTTTACGGTGTTCACAATCGGAGCCACAGGACTAGGTGGAAACAGTAGGAATCAAAAGCAAATTCGTATTTTAATCAATCATTTTAATTGAGATGTAAAATTAGAAGTTTAAGCCAGCACACTGTATATTAACCCATTGTTCACCATAAGCATCTGTAGACACAAGAGGTGGACCTTCTCCACACACCACATGCGTCTATTAAAAAAAATGTTTTCCTAAGTGGCAGCCCTGACAGATTTTAAAGTCATTTTCTTTGTGTGAGAATTTTCAGCTGAAAGTATTCAAGAACTCCCAACTTGTGAGTAATACATTTATTTTTATAATACTCATTGCAAATTAATTTTTAAAATTAAATTTAAAATGTTGTGGTGTATAGGGAAGGTTTCCGTTTTGGACGCGTGGCAATTAACTGGTTATGAACTAATCTTCTTTTAATGCTTGTCTCACTCAATACCAGTTCCTTCCTTAGTGAATGCTCTGCAAAGGTAGATATGCATAAAATACTTAAAACGAGGACACAAAATATTTTCACATCATTTCAGTTGTAATGCAATTCTTAATTCCACCACTACATTTGACATATGAATTATGAGCTATGGGTATGCATTGAAAAAAAGTTTCCATAATACACATTTGTCAAGAAACAGTGAGTTTAGTTGTAAAGTTGAGTAGGTGGTGCCTCCTCAAACAGTTATGTGAGAAAGAAATACTGCATCTAGGAGCACAAGCCCACGCAATAAGACATTCCACTGTGACTCAAATTCCGCTGACTACTATGACTTCTCATAGAGGACTCTTTCCAGTAGCATGGCGATCCCTTTTGTTCTGCCAGCAACCAGGAAGTTGTCACCTGAAGTGGAAAATAGGTGATATTTGCAAAAGCGTAGCTAGAGAATAGAAACTCCCAGGCAAGAATAATAATGAGGACTTATTGTTTATAGAGCCTCATTAATTGGGTGAAGAAAAAAAAGATATTTTCATTCACGAGTTATTACGGTTCTTGAGGGATCTAACTGTGCAGATCTTTGGTTTCACTACCTGAAGTACTTAGATCAGGGGAACAAATACTTATTGACGGATCAGTCAATTAATACAATGCTAGAGGTAGATCTACCTCCTTTTACAGAGGAGGTAACAGAGATGCAGAGAGGTCAAGTCATTTAGTTCTAGACTGAGAGAGAGAAATGCCTTTGCTCCAATCAGTTGGAGAAAAAAAGGAATCAAAATGAGCAAAAACTTTGCATGGCCTCTTGAGGGTTTACAAAGAGCTGTCCCCTAACGGAACTCCCCCCCACCCCCATCCCTCCACATCTTCAGAGGTGACAGGTTTTCTCTTTATGACCAGCAATAACAAGTATTGAGGGTTCTTAGTCATCACAGAAGATACAGGAACAAAAGAGAAGAGGGCGGAGGATATCTACAAAGGAGAATAAGGACAAGTTGGGGGGAGCAGTTGTAACAAAAAGGAAAGAGAATAGCAATGGTGGAGGAGAAAGAAAAGGGGGCGCATCTGAAAGCTACCCCCAAGTTCAAACACACTGATACATGTTGGGGGACAAAGCATTTCTAGATCTTTGCTAATCTTCACTATGTAAGAGCAGAACCTATGGTTATAAAACTTGGACCAGAACAGAGCTGGTGTATGTATCTTTAGCATGTAGAAGTGGCATGCCACTGGAGAAGGCCAGCAAGGAGCAGACATTGTGGGCAGCCTCCAGGAGGGGTCAAGTGGAGATACCCTTATGGGTAGAGCCTGTGCTGGGACCAGATCTTTGAATATAATTAAGTTCAGTTCAAATCAGTGTATTCTTCCTTCCCCATCACTGACCTAATATGTGAAGAAAGTTGTCTTACTTTTAAAAATATATTTTATTGATTTCTTACAGAGAGGAAGGGGGAGAGATAGAGAGCTAGAAATGTCGATGAGAGAGAAACATCGACCAGCTGCCTCTTGCACACCCCCTACCGGGGATGTGCCCGCAACTGATGTACATGCCCTTGTCCAGAATCGAACCTGGGACCTTTCAGTCTGCAGACCGACGCTCTACCACTGAGCCAAACCGGTTTTGGCTGTCTTACTTTTAGTTGTCATCCTTTTCAAGGAGTTTTTTTCCCAAGAGATAATTGTGAAAAACACACACATCAAAAAGAGGATCTTTAACCCTAATTAGTACCTATGCAGAATGTCAGTTTGAAACCTCAAATAGGCTTAATTGGCCATTTTCTTTTCACTTTTGAAAATTCATCTCATTGTAACTGATACCTAATTTTTCCTCCCATTTCCTTAAAAATGTATATCTTGATTCCTAAAATACTGATGTACTGGAAATAAAAATAATAAACACGTTCTTATGTAAAACTTCCTTTTGCATCTTGCACTTTTAATACAGTTACAGGTGCAATCAGTTTTTTAAAGTTGTAAGTGTTGCACTTGTTGCCCCATGTCTCAGATGGAATAATGTGAGCGTCTGGCACTCTGAAGCTTCATCCAGCCATGAGAGCTGGAACCCCCGTGCTGGGTGCTGCAGGAGGAGGCAGGGAACTCAGGTAATCGGAGCTTCCTTGAGCTTCGGCTAAACTCCTATGGGTTTCCCATCCAGGGAACAAGCAGGTATGTGAGCCACAACTCCTCGGTTGCCTAGATGAGAGAAGATTCTCCGGGCCCTTTCCAATCTGAGAGAGGACACAGGATGTAGAAACTGGGGCCCCAAAGAAGAGACCTTCCCATACACCTGGTCTACGTAGGCTGCTGCTTTCTCTCAACCTGAACCTACCATGACCCAGGTGGGCCTCTGAATGTGCAGGAACCCAGCTGTCCAGCCTCCACAGCCCTCCTCTGGCTGGTTTGAAAAGACCAGCCTAAAAAGTGGGTGATCCTGAGAGTGAGAGGCATTTGGCTCAAAGACAATAGAGGGTTCACCTACTTCTCTTTCCCCATCAAAAGCCACCTCCTCTGCAGTAGTTAGGACACAACTGAGATGTAGGCAGTGAAGGGCACATAATGGGAGAGGATTAGATTTTCACTTTCTCCTGACGAGTTTTTTTCATGAGCATTCGGTTCACCTGTCATTTCTAACAAGCATGTTTTCCTCTGGGAAGTTCCAGGGACATGGAAGTGAGCAGGTGCATCTCCTGCCACCATTTGCTTTGTGGCACTTGATCGCCACATCACAGTTTGAAGTCCTTGTCAGATATCCTAGCTCCTCACTTTTGGGGAGGATTGGGGTGGGAATAGGGATGAAGTTTTTACATTTGTGAGACCAACATGAGGGAATGTTAAGGATTTGTTAACAGGAGCACATATCACTTCCCCAAAGATTGTCTTTATTGTTGAAAAAACACTAAGTTTTGCTTTTATTTTTGAAGCTTACTGCTAAGATGTTGCTGTCAGTGTTTAATATTTTGTTATCTTTTAGCCACATTAAAATCATGCTTGCCATCCTTCATTATCATCCATAAAGCAAACCCAGGGACTATCTACTAAAACACAGACACATTTTATTATAAATCGATGAATGAATATATGGTGCTCCTATTCTATTGAAATTAAGGTTTTGCAGCAAATATACTTGATAGTGGAACATTTGAAAGAGATACAGAGGAATTCATGTTTCATTAAACAGCACATTAAAAATTGGCTGAACTGGATTACCTTGATCCAGCATACACCAGAGTTAGCATAATGGAGTTAATAGATTATAGGGAGACGTAGTTCATCTGTGGTGGAAACAGGAATTGTTTACGTCACAAAGTACAACCTTACTTCCCCCCACTATAATGTGTTCCTTTTATTTTTTTATTTTTATTTTTAAAATATTTTTAAAAATATCTTTTTTTAAAAATATCTTTTTTATTGATTATATATATATATATATATATATATATATATATATATATATATATTTATTTTTTTTTTTACAGAGAGGAAGGGAAAGAGAGAGCTAGAAACATCGATGAGAGAGAATCATCCGTCAGCTGCTTCCTGCACACTCCCTACTGGGGATGTGCCCGCGACCAATGTACATGCCCTTGACCGGAATCGAACCTGGGACCCTTCAGTCCACAGACCAACGTTCCATCCACTGAGCCAAACCAATTTCGGTTAATGTGTTCCTTTTAAATAGCTTTATACAGTAACAGGAAAATATTTTCCATGGTGTGTATATCTGAAACCCTAATACATTTTCTTTTAAAGAAAACAATCAGAAATTATTGGCAACAAAACAACCTACCATGATGTAAGCAGTAATTTCTCATTAAATGAATGTGCCTAGAACTGAAGGGGTGTGTGTGTGTGTATGTGTATGTGTATGTGTGTGTGTGACAAATATTGAAGTGTGAAGCACATAGACCCTTACCAGTGTTTACCTACTATATATGCCCATGCATTTAGAGATCTTCATTTCCTTACATAAGTAGTCAAACTTTTATGTACATTCTAACATCT